GAGACTGTTTTGTAAAACCTGGGTGGCGCGCTATGGTACCCAGGTAAGTGACACCGGCCAGTGGAAGGCATGCTTTATATTGCTCCAAGTTTTTTTTGTAACTACAAGCTATGTAACTTGTTGGCCGACAAGTACGGGGTTTCCTAGTATGAAGTTCGTGAATGGCTATCTATGTGTATATATGTACGTTGTATAGATATACTGAGGATGTACTGCATTGACGATAGCAATCCGTTTAACCCAACAATCTTAATGCGAAGCCACATTCGCCAATTGGGCCCTTTCGGGCCATCTTGGGGTATAAGGTAGTGTCTCGGTAGACCAGCGAACATGTGACCGGGAGGTGTGGTGGGACGACGAAGGCAGGAAGCATCGTCTGTCCAAACTCCATGGTATCCCGCGCCTGCTGCCTGGCTCCGTGTCTCCAAGAACCAGGCATCATCAACCACGATCCCGGCCTCTCTCTGCGCATGATTCATTACCTTTCTCTAGGTACGCCTTAGCCAGTCATGTCCTTCCGTGAATTCGTCAAGAGACATTTGAGGAAACTCCGCTGTGGTCGTGTGGGAAGGTCTGGGAAGCCGATTGCAGATGGAAATGGAGCCCTGAAGCTTGACACCATCAAGGCTGCTGCCGCTGCTTTATCCGTGGCGCCATCCCAAGGTATGGATCTATGTTCTTTGCGGGTTTTGCTCATTATAGCATGTGCTCATACTCACATAATTGCTACAGAAAGTACCGAGCTACATCCCGAACGAGCTACTACCCGCCCTGCTGCGACTGCGAGCTGACAACCACTGGCGGTGGTTACGGGGCCACCCCGAACATCCGAGGCTATCGCCGCGATAGACGCTGCCAACTTGAAGCAGTTAGTTGCTCCAAACAGATCTTCGCCCGATCCGACCCTTTCAAGACAGCTTCACAACCTCGAGCATTTACAGAGCGAACATGACAAGCTCAACCTTCCCTTCAGCTCGAGGAGTGGAACCCGAGGGTCCTTGGAATCAACAGCAGAGATAGCTACAGCCAATATTCTGAATGAGTCAGCAGATACTGAGGGCTGCTTGCGGGCCTCTCCCACGGGATCGGATACCTGGGAGGACATTGCGCCACAGTCACTGTGGAGCCAAGCATACAACAGACTGGACAAAAACCTGGTTGAGCGATACCAGGCACTGCTTCTTGATGAATTCTCCCCGACAAGTATGTGTCAAAATGCTTGGCCATGCATTTCTGCGGCTAATCTCGGGTACAGTACCAACCTCACCGGACTCGGACATGCCCACGAGCTCTTCACACGACCAGAGCTGCAACTTGGAGTACGTGATACGATATGGCCAAGAGCAGATGGCCGAGATCGTCGATCAACTCGCCATCCGTACACCACACCAAGCTCGTTTCAATGACATGATGGAACGTGGGCAAGAACGAACGAAACGGAAAATGACTTTCCACATTGGCCGGTACAAAATCAACCTAGAAAATCAGGTCGCTCGAGTAGCAGAGTTCGTATTGTAGGAAAAGGCCCTAGCCGACGAAGCTGTCAAGGTGTCCCGCGAAGCGTCCTTGGTTTGGGCTGGCGTTTGCCTCATTCTTCCCCTGCTTACATACCCTCAGCTGGTGGAAGAGGCCAGAAAGAGCGGATTCGACTACGTCACAGCTCGTATGGAGTTCTATCTTTCGCTGGAGCCGCGTTTGTTCCCAAAGGGTCGACTTGCTGCCGGCATTCCGGAAGAGCTGTGTGTCGCATTACAGAAGGATGTTCTGGACTTGTACGAGCTTATTCACGCGTTTCAGTTTGAAAGCGTTCTACACCTCCATCAATCACGATGGCGTGCCATCAGACATGACTTGCGAGACATCAAACGATGGGATGAATCGTTGTCTAAAGTCAAAGTGGCCGAGAACATCCTGGAAAGAGACCTGAGGAAAATAAGTGACGTGCTTCTGAGAGAACAGCTGGAGACTCTTGACAAGGGCACAAGGGAACTGTCCGAGACTATGCGGATGCTTTTGACAGTCACTGAACGAACGCTGCAAACCAACGAACGACAGGCCCACATCCAGGAAGATCTGCTGCAAAGTTCCAGGCTTACGAAGTATGTGCTCGGCGGTTTTTTTTTTCCTCCCCCCCTTTTTTTTCTTTGTTTTTTCCCCAGCCCTGGCCATCTTCAGCCAGCTCTGGCTCCAGCTAACACCTTGATAGCGAGCTCCTCGGTGAGATACGACTTCGGACCGAGCCCGGCGCACTACACGATACAAAGGAACGCGAGTGTCAGCAGGGCACTAGAACCAGCATATTCAGGCTCATTCATGAATGGATCGAAACCACCGAAAGCCCAGTGATCTTTTGGCTCAATGGGCCTGCTGGTAGTGGCAAGTCGATCATTGCTCGAACCGTCGCTTATGAATTCTCGGAAAGGAAGATACTGGGAGCTAGCTATTTCTTCGACGACAGATCGGGCCGGAACAGGTGGGAATTATTTTTCCCAACAATTGCCAGCCAGTTTGTGGCTACGGTCCCAAGTTACCTTACCAGCCTAGGTAACTGTCTGCGGAGATTAGGAAACCCCAGAGAGCAGGCCGAGAATATCCATTCAAAGGCTCTTGAGGTCCAGTTCCAGAGGCTTATCAGGGAGCCCCTTGCCGAAATGCCCTCTTCTCAGACTGAGATATCGACGAGAATCATTGTGGTCGATTGCCTGGACGAATGCAAGGACGATAATAACGTGCGCCTAGTCTGCGGTTTGCTATCTCAACTCGAAGAACTCCGCACAGTCCGTCTGCGTGTTCTCTTGACGAGCAGATCCGCCTACCACATCGCAAACTCTTTCCGGAAGGTTTCGCACCGCTCTTTGTCGCTGCTTGATTTCTCCGATGAGACCAAGAGCGATATATCCGCCTTCCTGGAGAAGAGGCTTGCTAAAGTAAAAGAAGACGCAGGTTTCCTTGAGAATACTGTCTGGCCCAATAGGAACGATCTCCAACGTCTCCTCACTCTGGCTACGACCCCGACACCGCTGTTCATTTATGCAGCAACTCTCCGCCGATTTGTCAACGATGGGACGGATAGCCCAAAGCTCAATTGAAGCTCTGGCTTGACCAGGCCGACAGCAATACCCCACAACTCAATCAAACCTACATGCCGATCATCCAGCGGTTGCTCTTCGTCCCTGGAGATGACGGGGGCTACAAGCGCATTGCTAGCAGGGCGGAATCAAACTTACGCCTGATTCTGGGTTCCATTGTTGCTCTTGCCACTCCACTTTCTGCAGAGTCTTTAGCTGGCCTTCTTGCCATGGACCTGGATGATGTCAACACTTGGCTGAGGAAACTCCATGCGGTACTCAACGTTCCTAGGGACCCAAAAGCCCCAATCGAGATACTGCATCAGTCGTTCAGCGACTTCTTACTGGGGTAGGAAGGGACCGGCATGGAGGGATTTCGGGTGCACCTAGTGGAAACGCACGTGCTGCTCGCTATGAAGTGTCTTGACCGGATGAAGCGCATGGATGGAATTCGGAAGGACATGTGCCGTCTCGAAGACTATGGAAAATTGAAAGACGAAATCGATCTGGACGCCATCACCAAAGCCATCCCACCCGATCTAGCATACGCCTGCCTCAACTGGATGTTCCATCTGCAGAAGTGCAGGCGATATACCACAAACCAGGACAAAATAAACCACCATAACACTGACGAAGACGTCAATAACTTTCTCCGACGACAATTTCTTCATTTGCTTGAGGCGTTGAGTCTCTTAGGGAGGGTCCCTTCAGGCCTCGCTATCATCAAATCCATGCGTGCACTCGTCAATGCCGAGAAATTCGAATATGTAGGTACAGAAAATCGTTCACTCACTCTTGCACCTTTGGAAAATGCTAAGTCATTTGGTGCAGCCAGGGTCAAATGAGCTCTCTTCTTTGGTATACGATGCTGAACGATTCATCCTCTTGCACGCCGGTGTAATCTCTTCTGCCCCTCTCCAGATCTATCGCAGTGCTCTTCTCTTCAGCCCTCGAGCGAGTATCGTTCGAGCTTTGTTCGAAAATGAGATGGATGGACCCAGACTATTGTCAGGAGTTGATGAGCACTGGGGCGCCACACTGCAGGTACTCGAAGAAGACTCAAAATATGTTGGGTCATTGGAGTTCGCCCTCGATGGGGAAAAGTTGGTCTCTCTAACGCCCTCCAAAGATCCTCGACGTGTACGGATATGGGATGTTGCGACCGGACAAGCTGAGCATTTACAGCAAGTCCATTCGGGCAAAGTTACATCTGTCGCATTGGCCCGTGATGGCAAGTTGCTTGCGTCAGCCTCAGATGACCAAACAATACGGGTATAGGATATCAGAACGCAGAGACTCAAACAAGTGCTTCAAGCGGGCAGAATAGGGACTCTGGAATCCTCGCCTGACGGGCGAATGCTAGCTTCGAATGCAACGGAGGGGGATGAATCGCATCCCAGGGGCGACTCAGATATCAGTATCTGGGATGTTGCAAAGGGTCGACTTAAGCATGTTCTCAAGGGCCATTCTCACTTTGTCGGAGTTCTAGTGTTCTCTCCTGATGGAAGCAAACTGGCGTCAGCATCACGCGATGAGTCTATCCGGGTATGGGACACGGCAGCATGCGAAACTGAATACATATTCAAGGGTCATGGGGGCATGCCACGCACATTGCTATTCTCTCCTGATGGAAGCAAATTGGTGTCATCGCAGAGTTGGGGCCATTTCCCTTCCAACGACACTGATCACGACAGAACAGTTCGGGTATGGAACCTCGCAGCTGGTCGAGCTGATCGATTGCTGGATTTTCATCCTGGCGTGATAAAGTGTCTGGCATTTTCCCCGCAGGAGGGTGATTTAGTAGTGTCGACATACGTTCCTAGGTCCAGTCTGCACGGGACTATACACGTATGTGACGTCGCAACAGGCCAAACAAAGCATGTTCTCGAACCTAGGAGCGGATGGATTAACAGCCTGGTGTTCTCCTCGGACGGAAAGACGCTCGCAGCGGCATCACATCACTCCCTTCGGTTCATATTGTGGAATACAGTGAATTGGCAAGTTAGGAGCGCATTTGTACATCCGGCTGGACCCGGAATCTCCGGTGTGGCCATTTCCCCGGACGGAAGCAGATTGGCGTCAACATCAGATACTATAAGAATCCTGGATCCTGCGACGGGAAGGGTTCCACACTCTACAGATCGAGTTTGGGCTTCCATTGTCAATTTGGACTTCTCGCCAGATGGGAGAACATTGGCGTCGATGTCGACAGACCGAAGAATCCACGTATGGGATGTGAAAACGGGCCAGGCCAGACGTATGTCCGAACCTGATGTCACATCGAAAGACAGAGTCACTCCAATTTTCTTTGCTCCCTTTCGGTTTTCACCGGACGGAAAACTACTGGCCGCAGGATTCCAAACTTCCTCGGTCATTTCGGTCATTTTATGGGACAGTGGGACGGGTCATATCAGGCATATGCTTGATCACCAGGACGTGGAGCCAGCTAAATCACATGCAGTTGGAGCCATAGCGTTTTCCCCTGATGGGTGCAAGGTGGCAACAGGATCATTTTGTGGTCCAGTACGGATATGGGACGTAATAAGTGGAAAAGCCAGATCTGTACTACCTTGTGTTTTGTCAGATTTGCCCACTCTGGCATTTTCGCCATCCGGGAACGAGCTGGCATCAGCCCTACCTTCCGCCACCGGTGAAGGTGCGCGTGTATGCGTATAGGACGTCACGGCAGGCCAGGTCGAGTATACACTGAACTGCAACTCCACTGCTATCACAAGCCTGTCATTTTCCCCTGATGGGACGAAATTAGCGACAGGAATAGCTCACGGCGACGTGCTACTATGGGACATTGCAGAAGGCCAAGTCATTCATATGCTCAGAGGTCACTCTGGGAAAGTTCAGACCCTGATCTTTCTCAAAACAGGAAACAAATTAGCATCAGGATCAGGCGGTGATATGACCATCGGGATCTGGGACCTCACTACAGGCCAAGCCGAGCACATGCTCAGCGGACACCCGGGCTCCATCAGATACCTGTCAGATCTGGACGCAGTGGACTTGGAAAATCTCCTCCTGGTAGATGGGACAACCAGCTGGGTGATGAAAAACGGGAGAAGAATCCTCCATCTTCCGGTGATTCACCGGCCGTATCACGACGGAGGATCTGATTGGCGGCAACCCTGAGTTGCCGCCAGGGGTAACATTTTGGCGACTGGGAGTGAAGCTGTTCGGGTTACAATCATTTTATTCGATCAAGAACATTCTGGTGTTTGAGACACCAAGGTGACAACGGAAGATCAAGGAACTGAGACAGGATATTCAATGATAGGGTTGCGGGTGCACTTTCATCTCTTTGTCCATCCTCTCACCTAGGTGAGAGACTCTCCTTTTTGTACTTGAACTTTGTTATTCTCTCCTGTTGTGACGGCTAAAACAGGCTGGGCTCCCAGAGTGACAATTTGGTTTATAGCACGGGAAGATAGGGGCCGGTTTCTTGGGACTGTCCCGGCCGTTCTGTCGAGGACATACTACCATAACTCCATGTTAAATGTTCAAGAACTGCATGTGTTCAACATGCTCGAAAGCGAGGACTTCTCGGCCGAGGTGATGCTAAGCCCGTACGCGTACTTGACGGCTACCCAGCTCTTGGCGTAAGTGCAATGGAACGAAGTAAGCGACGGCTTCCACTGGTCCGGACTCTGGTCACTCTTGGCCTGGTTCACATTATCTGTTACCGCCCACAGCTGGGGACGGCTGAGGTCGTTGGCGAAGTCAGACCTCTTAGAGGTAGTCCAGGTGTTGGCGCCGGACTGTTTATGTCACGGTTAGTGTCGGGCTATGGGCGTTCCCCAGCTGGTAGAAAGATCCTCTTACAATCCAGGCATTCTTCAGCGGTACCATGTGGTCAATGTCCACATCGGAGGCAACAGTCCAGGTCGCCCCGTCGTATGGGCTGTACCACCGCCCTGACGTAGGGTAGCATGAGCTGTCGGTGACGATGTTGGTGCCATCACGTTTTAGGACTGTTTCTCTGTCAACGATGTTAGCTCAGCTCGCGTGCAGAAGAGTGGTGGATACCGTACCGAGTGTTGCAAGCTCCGCTGATAGTGATCCAGTGAGGAAACTTGTCTCGGTTGTACAGACCGTCGTCGTAAGAGGCCTTCACGGTCAGAGCGGAGAGCTGGCTCTTTGCCGTTGAGGCTGAGGGGATGCCTGGCTGTGTATGGGGTAAGTTCGCGGTAGAATATTGGTGTAGGCACACCATGAGATGCAATGGGAAGTCGTACCGGAGAGGGCGCTGGCATGGGGACGGCAGAGACTGCCGTCGCCCAAAGCGACGCAGCAACGAAGAACTTCATCTCGATCCCGGATCGTGACCGCAATCAGTGATTGGCAAAGTGAGCAGTGCTACAACTCTCCAAGAAGTCGAAAGGATCTGACATTTGGGAGACGATAACTTATAACTTATAGCTGGTGGTAAAACTAGTAGCAGGACGGAGGCAGTGACAAACTGAATCGCCCGTTTCCCACCAAACACCTTAGCCGGCGCAACTTCTCAATAGAGGTAAGCACGACAGCCACATGTTGATAATCCGCCTATGGCGTGCAGTTGCAGCTCAAGACCCCCAAGTCTTACAGGACGCGAGCCGCCAGCTTCCTGACAAGGATTTCCAGCCGCCAACCTCTTGTCTACACCGAACCCTATGCAGCCAATCCCGATGCAATGTAACCCAGCCTAAGAATGCCGACATCCAGTCAAGGCGCGAGTTAGAACCACGTCTGGTATCTTGCGGGGTGACCCTGCGGATTCATATCTTATCAGGGCTTTGGAGACCCCTGAATTCAGAACTCCCCTCACAGTCGACAAGTGACCACATCCCAGCAAAACACCAAGCCCATAATCGCCAACTTCCTTTTTGAGGTCCCGAGAGCAAACGGGAGTCGATGCACCCAATCACTTGCGTTTTGAACAACACCTGCAGCTGTCCATCCCCGCATGGCGTCTCTGCCGGCCACGGTAGACGCTGTGGCCCGTGGGGGACAGTGGGACCTTTCAAATACCTAGCGGGCCAAGAGAGGCTTGTCATGCAATTTTGCAAGAGTAGATACCGAGGCTCGAAAATCTGCGAAGCGTCGATCCGAGGAGAGGCAGGGCTGGATTCAAACTGAAGGTACTACCATAAAGTAAATGGCGCAGACACTCTCACATGGAGAACCTGGGAGCATCAGACATGCCTTGCGCGTCCCGGATCCCCGTCGTCGACTGGATGGAGCTACCCCTGTTCCTCACGCCGGTGCGGGGCGATCCGTTTGTCCATAGCGGGATGCACTCCGGCACAAGTGATCCAAATGTGTCCAAACCCCGGCCCTTTGCCATTTTCGTCTACCGGCTTGTGAAGCGAAAGCATGCCGCGATTCAAGTAGCTGGCGTCAATGCATATTGTTGGTGCATACATTACCGGATGGACCCACTACGGGCCGGAACGGGCCTCGGACTCGGAACCGGAACCGGGTTCGGCCAGGAGCGGTATCGGAGCCGGAGCCCCGGATCAGCCAGGGGGAAGTGGCGGGCGGGGACAGTATATCGGCAATCACACACAAGTCATTAAACCACTGATTAATTGTAGGATAACGGACAGATCACGCGACATTCTTGACTTAATGCTTGAGAATAACTCCAAGCTCCAAAGTGAAGCAACGTACCATAGCAGCTCGGTCCTTTTCTGTAATCTACCTAGGTACGTATGATTCAACGGCAAGTGAGGTTGCTTGGACTGGTATCGGCATATTTACAGGACCAGATGGCTGATAGCAACGGCCGCTCACTCTTAGTTTGCGAGTCACAACTTGAGGCACAACTCGTTGTCTGGGGCAGCGCCATGAGTAAATCCGTTGTTATCGCCATCCATACTGCCAAATTCTCTCATCAGAAGTCATGTCTCTCCGTTCTCTAAGTGTTTGCCCATGCGTTTGACGATATGGAAAGTACTAGCACTTGACAATAACGAAGTACATCATGACCAATGGCGAAGCCACACAACAACCGTCTTGCCCAATAGACCAAAAGTCCCACGAGTAAATCATAGGCGCATTATACTAAAATAGACGGCAATGACAATCTTAGCATCATGTCGCTCCAATGATCGCAACCTCCGTGACTCTATGACTAGGAAACGACTCGCCTACTGCTTGTTTGCCGTCTCCTCACCTTTCTTATCAAGCCCACCTTCCTTGGTTTCGTCCTGCCCTGTATCCGGCTTCGCATCGGCCTTGACATCTGCGACGCCAGCTGAGGGGTCCTCTGGAGTCGGCGCTGCCTTTTCCTGTTTCTTAAACGTGAACGAGGGCATATTCGGCATGTTAGGGATGCTGGGCATTGACACCTTGGGCATCTCGACGGTGGGCAATTTTGAAGGCAGATACGATCGCAAGGAGGTGCCTGTCTGCTGGGCGATGCCAAACAAATGTCGCATGTAGGCTTTTTTCTGTTCAGCTGTGTCCAGCTTCTTGCCGTCTTCGCCCATGCTCTCGTCAAGGTCGCCATCCATATCGTCTGGCAGCGGGACCAACGAAGCAGCCGCCGCGATATCGACCGGGGACTCGTCGGGGAGCTGATCGTCTGGGGTCGTTTCCTTGCTTGTCTCTCCCTCGGCTTTGGATACCTCCTCCTCCACCTCCTGAACCTCTCCCTTGTCGACTGCTTGAGCAATCGCCTCGGTCTCAGCCGGTTCGGCAGGCGTAGGCTCAGCAAATTTCGGATCATCGTAGAGCTCAGTCTCGTCGTTGAACCAGTCTACAATTCGCCGCGCCGCGTCATTGGTCATGGCCTCGTACTCCTTGTTCTTGTCCCGCTTGAACATGTTGATGTGCGCCTTGATCTCGTCCGCCGCGCCCTCGATGACGTGCCTGGTGAAAAGTTTCGCGGCAGGGTCGTCTTTGGCGGGCACAGCGCAGAAGGTCCGCTCGGGGACGAAATACCCGCCGCTCCAGTATCCATTCTCTCCCAGGGACGCGTAGACATCACACACGCCGACTCCCTTGAGCGCCGCCAACCGCTCCAGCCGGCGGTTCAGCTCGTTCTGCCTCAGCAGCGAGCCGACGAAGGTGAAGTGGTCGGACAACCAGGCAAACGACTCACCCACGTTGCCCCGGTTGATGTAGGCCAACCCCTGACCCAGCGCGTCGACCGACTGCTGGTAGCCCTGGACGACGTCGTCCTTGGTCAGGCTGCGCACGGAGCGCATCCCCTCAAGGATCTTTTTGCGGTGAGTGTAGGCGGCCACCCCGCCCGCGGCGATGGCTCCGACTGTACCCGTTCGCAGGGCAATCAGCTGCCACGTCTTGAACGCCGGGCTGGAGGACCGCTGGGCTGTCACTACCCTGTTGGTGGCGCTACTGAGGGCTCGTCGCGAGGCGAGCTTGGAGAGCGCGGCGGGCGCGGCAGCAGACACGGCGGCCATGATGTTCCACACGTTGCTGACCTTTTGATAGTTGGAGAAGGCCCCATAGACAAACATGGAGCGTGCCAGGCCGTTGTAGGGCGTGTCAAAGGCGAGGATGCCTTGGATCAGTGGGAACATGGGCCCAACGCTGGTGGCATTGTCGCGATGTTCGTCGAGAATGCCGAAGAGGCAGTCACTTGCGACAAAGCCACTATGGGACCAGTGGTTAGAGACTAGACTTAATATGCTTTTGGACGTGAAAACTTAGTAAAGGCAAAGAATTCACCCACCCCATGGAGTGCGCAATGAGAATCACGCCAACTGTTCGGTCGGTGGGCGGCCATGGATTGTCCAAATGGGCCTTACGCAGGTCCATGACCTGCCCTTTCAGCCTGCACTCAGGTGAATTAGATGGATATCAACAAGCGTAGAGACATGCGTGATAGTTACCATTCCAGGAACGCAGCGGTGCTCTCGGTGAGCTCACCCTTGGTTTCATATCTCGGATAGACGACAGATGCCACGTGGTGCTCCGGTAGGTTGTTGCCGACGGTGTCCTTGAGATGCTTGGGGAAATCCCCAAACGTGTCATCGCTCCCCTGTTAGTGACATGGGATCATGGTCAGTGACAACTATTGACATGAACTTGGTCCAACAAACAACCAAGTATGATGGAAAGGCTTGCCTTAAACCCGTGGATGAAACAAAGCAGTAATATCCTCTTCATCGCAAAGACTGGAGTCGAGCTCCTGGGCAGTGAATTTGTATTGACGGATAGGTTTGTCCAACGAAGTAGGTATGCCTTTTACAGGAAGGTGGATCCTAACTAGTAACTAGTACACGCAATGGTTATGATTGCTGACGATCCACGGATGCTGTGTGTTATGGGATGTTAATACCGGATGGGAGATGATGATGTCCCGGATGCTGTTAACGTTCGGATGGGGATTTGGAATGGCATAACGTCATTGCTAAGGTAACGTCATTCAAGAATCCGAAAGGAACTGCCCAATGAAGAGTGTACAATGTAGGTATTGCCACTCAAAGTGGTAATTACATAGGTACCTTAGCTTAGCACTTACTTACTTTAGTTTAGTTCAGTTGGTACTGTACTACTAGTAGTCAGATTCATGTCTTGCCAGAGGTCATCACTCCAACCTAACTTTTCTCAACTGTGATTATAGGTCAAGAAGAAACTGGCTGTCTCTCTTAGTGACGAACGAGAAATGAAGTACGGAGGATTGACAGTGTATTGTCGCCACTCTGAGCATCGTGGTTGTTGCGATTTGGACCTGGGTACTTATCTACAACGGAACGAGGAGCAGCGTGTTCATAAATACATCGACTTTGTCGATCAGAATAGCTAGGTACTTACGTCTTGTAGGTCTCAAGAAGCTACATGTACGAAGCGGACTCGGAGTTCTGGCAGCTTACCTTATCCATGCAATCACCCCGCTCTCTCCTTCACCTGCCTCCCCATAGCTCATTGCCCGTCGCCATCAGCCATGAGAACATACAAGCTATATAGTTATCCTTAGCATGTAGGACGTTAAGCAGGTCGGGCCTAAAATCCTTGGTCACTACATACCTTACCTATCATGCACGTGCCCACCAGCTCGATGAGGCGTGGTCTCTCGCGGGGGTTCAGTTGTGCAAAAGAGGGACCGAGAAGCACTGTAGAGAGTCAGGAAAGTACTAGTAGAATAAGCACAATATACAGTTTCGGAAGATAGTCTGTAAGTTAGCCGCCTTGCCTACCACTTCTGGCTGTGATTTCGGGAACGAACGGGGGGTTTTCGAATGTCCGCTGCTGTGGTCGATAACACAAACTCTCCCTTTCCATAGGCAGCTTTAGGTAGACATCGAATTACATCACCTCGTTTTTCCCAGTTCTTCCTGGGCGCGTCCCTCGCACCAGCCTAGAACTGCGGGGTGCCTCAAGAGTCAAAAAGGTCCCTGACCTGATACTAGTGTAAACGCAGGATGAAGATAAATACAATTGTCATCAGGATAAGGAGTATGTCGGTTGAGCAGCAGTATGTGGTGAGGATCAGCATGGGGAGAAGGAGAAGCGGCATAAGACTGGACTCAGCAGGACAATGAGAACCGATATAAGCATGATACGGATGAGGGGACGCAGCTTCGAGACAGCTGCCAGTTTTCACAGAATAAAGAGGAAATTCGTGATATGTCGAGAAATCTGATACATTAGATGTATTTCTAGTAGTACTAGGTAGATGTCATTGATGCTTGACGGTTTTGAATTTGTTTCGAAGACTGCAATCTCGTTGTGGTACCGTACATGTAAGCTGTGGTCGTATACATATACCGTCGAAGTGATGTGCTTTCAAACGAAGAATCCAGATGTGCCCAGGCAAGCCAGAGATGAAGTGTCCATATGTGAGAGGGCTATGTGCCCTGCTGACCGTCGATTGCTCCGCTAACTAGGATCAGACTGGTTACCACCAGGTCAGTATGACTATCCTTCCCCACTGCTCTATATAAGTATCCACTTACTAAACTCGAAGCTGCCGTCGTTGTTGCCGATGCGCTCCGCGAGGTTGAGGTCTCTCCACTGAACGTTGCCCTCCACGTCCTTGAGACCAGCACGAAGGATAGGGACGGAGTCGTCGCCTTCGAGCGAGAAGCTGATGCCCTCGGCGCTGTGGGAGAAGTTCACTCCGCCCCACTCGAAAGAGCCTATAAGATAGGTTAGGTATCATAACATAAGCGCCAAGGTCTTCTTGTAGGATTTGAGTAGCAGTACGGGGCTGAGTTACACACCGTTTTCGTTACCAATGAACTGGTTGAGATCCATCTCGGCGTCAACCAGCTCGCCGTCGGCGTTCCTGAGACGGGCCCGAAGCATGTAGCCGTCATCGACACGGATGTCCTCGGCCGAAGCGTGGAACGACATTATGAGAATGAGACTGTGAGGACGAAGAGGTTGCGGGTGCTGGAAAGAAGGACAACTGGTGGAAGACGAGGCGCTTAGTAGTCGGCATGAGAGCGGGTTCGATGCCCGTATTTAAGCTTGTCGACGACAACAACGTTGCCTACCTACCGTACCCACAACGGACCATGCCATATTGCAGCATGGGGTTTGTATGAGGCCTCCGCCCATCTGATTACCTTGATCTCGCATCCGAGAGACCGAGAGACCGAGAAGAATCAGATGGACGGAGGCCTCATACAACCCCACCCATCACTCCACCTAGATCCGGCTCGGCACTCCAGTTGTTGGAGGTTCATCAATTTCGAGCTGAAAACAACGCCGAGGCATAGTGAGTAGTCAACCAATCCCCCGCCCCGCCAAGTTGAGGGAGCTGTTGAAGATGATCTGATATTTGTGAGGTGGGTCCCTACAGTGGAAGAACAAGAACGACCAAGACTGTCAGAGAGGGAGGTAAGTGTCGATAATTATCGCATCGATGTACGCCAGGCCTGGGAGTGCAATGTAAGGATGCCGTCCATCCGTGAGTGTTTGGCACCTGACAAGATTGATGTGGATAGTTACTCACCGTGGACGTGTACTGATTCATTTCATCGTCCACATTCAGGCTTCTCTTCAACGCCACAGGCAAAACTCATCTCGCGGCGCCGATTTGCTATCCGTCGACCGGAAACCCGTTACATATGTGCAAGATAGAAGACAGTTTGTCAGCAACCTTTCCGGTAAGCAACTACACTGTCGTGAACAAGGCCTAGGCGCTGTGTTAGCATGTCCTGAGAACTCGAGGTATTCGAGGAGCTGGCGTCGGATCGACGATTGTAGTAGTACCTACCTACCTACCTGGGAGGTACTAGTACTCAGTATATTGGACTACTTGAGGCGGGATCAAAGGATTGGAATAAGCACTCTGGGTGTTCGATTACCTTGGCCTACCTCAGCCAATTTGACAGCTAAACCGTAATGCAGGATTGTCACACAGGATGAAGTTGTGATGAGGTGAGGCGCGGGGTGTACTGTACAATACAAGTGTACAGTACATACAGTAAACTTTTCCCAACGGCAGGAGCAGGTTTCTGTTTTTGAAGCTGAGAAGCGTCTGACACGGTGGCACTTTCCCTTCGTTTGGGTGACTCACTTGGGCTCAATGACCACATGCCACTCAATGATTTTCCCCTCCATTATCATTTCCATGAATTGAGCGTCTACACCTACTCGTCGTCAAAGCCAAGCGTAAGAGCCATAAGAGAAACACAAGGAATTCCCTCGAAACAATCATGGGTATCTAATTCCGCATCCTCGCCTCGCCGTTTGGCTCTGGATCCACCAGGACTGCAGCCTAACCAGAGTCTACAGGCATGGGTACCAACCTTGACGCGCTGCCTCCTCCAGTCCTGGACGCGGACGCGAACTCTCACGGGACAATGAAGATTGGAAATGTATGGCCCCACCGTCTCGGCGTCTTAGCCATACCTTACCCGTTGGTAGACCGAAAAGAGGGATATCCTCAGAGCGATCGAGAAGAAATACCAAATGCTCTGGCAACAGGAAAAGGTGTTCGAGTCCGATGCGCCGCCATGCTCAGAATATCCGCTGGACTCGATATCAGCAGATGAGCTGCGACTCGAGGTGCCCAAATTCTTTGGTCAGTAGCCCCGTTTGCCCACCATTTGCGGCAGACGCTGACCTACCTCGACTCAGGAACCATGGCATACCCGCAGGTCGACCTCGCTTCTCCCCATGACACCTCCTGCTAATAGACTCTCAGTTACGTGAATGGCGTTCCGCATCTGGGCCATGGCTTTACTATTTCCAAAGTGGATTTCACCACCCGTGCTGCAAGAGCCCAGGGCACAAACACGCTGTATCCTCAGGGGTACCACGCAACGGGCATGCCGATTAAGGCCTGCGCAGACAAACTTACAAACGAGATCGCCATGTTTGGAAAGACGTTCGCCGCCTATGATGAGAGCGACGTCCCCGAGGCTTCGGGCAGTGATGCAGTGCCTCTGGCCCAGTCCAAGGCCGATGTCACCAAGTTCACCAACCTGAAGAAAGGTAGAGTTTCGCGCCCTGACTAGCGATAGCAGCCTCTAATGACTCCGCAGGTAAGGCGGCACTGAAATCTGGCAAGGGAAAGTATCAGTTTCAAGTCATGATGTCGCTGGGCATCCCTCGCGAGGAGATTCACAAATTTGCCGATGCCAACTACTGGCTACACTATTTTCCCCAGTTGTGGCAGCAGCATCTGACCGAGTTCGGCTGTGGTATCGACTGGCGTCGCAGCTTCATTACAACCGACATCAACCCATACTACGACTCTTTCGTACGGTGGCAGATGCGCCGGTTGAGAAACCTTGGGAAGATCCGCTTCGGAAAGCGCTACACGGCCTATTCTCCGAAAGATGGTCAGCCATGCCTGGATCACGACCGTTCTTCTGGTGAGGGCGTCCTGGTCCAAGAATACGTCGCTTTGAAGTGCAGGGTCGTGAAGTGGTCTGCGCCGGTCCAAGAGATTATTTCATCAGGCACCAGCATCCCAGACAATGCCCAAGTCTTCATGATCCCAGCAACTCTACGACCAGAGACCATGTATGGCCAAACAAATCTCTTCATCTCACCCAACATCTCGTACGGCATCTTCAGGGTTTCTGACACAGTCTTCTATCTCGCCACAAACAGAGCCGCACGCAACATGGCTTTTCAAGGCATTTTTCCCGACTGGGGACATGCCCCCAAGGTCATGGAAATACAGGGTTCGCATCTGATCGGTTCAGCTGTTCACGCTCCACTCAGCATTCGGGACGTCGTTTACGTGATTTCCATGGACACGATCAAGGAAACGAAGGGAACGGGCGTGGTTACGTCCGTGCCCTCGGACAGCCCAGACGACTACGCCATGACGCGTGAGTTGTTCAGAAAGGCAAAGTTCTATGGACTCGATCCTCAATGGGTCTGTCAGGATATCTTTCCCATAATTGACACACCCGAATACGGCAATACGATAGCCCCGGCTCTCGTCGATAAGCTGAAGATCAACTCGCCAAAAGACGAACGGCAGCTCCTCAAGGCCAAGGAGCTGGCCTACAAGATAGGATTCTATCAGGGCACCATGATCTACGGGCCGTTTACCGGGATGTCGGTTCAGGAGGCGAAATCGCGTGTTCGCCAGCAGCTCCTGGACTCGGGAGATGCCTTTGTCTATTGCGAGCCTGATGGCTTGGTGATCTCTCGCTCGGGTGATGAGTGTGTTGCGGCATTTCTCGATCAGTGGTATTTGACATATGGTGTGGACGAGGCTTGGAGGAGCGAGACTCTAGGCCACCTTCTCAACCAGGATGGGCTCGGCTTCAACTGTTTCAACACGGTCACAAAGCACTCGCTCCAACAAACGTTTGGGTGGATGAACGAGTGGTCCGTCACTCGCCAGTATGGACTGGGCACAGACTTACCTTGGGATCCATCTCAGATGGTGGAGGGCCTGTCCGATTCCACCATCTACATGGCGTATTACACCGTCGCACACTACTTGCATTCCGACATCTACGGAAGACAGCTTGGGAGTGCGGGTATCAAGGCTTCACAGATGACGGATGGTGTATGGGAGTACATTTTCGCTCTTGCCGATGGAGTACAGAGTGACATCCCGAAGGACACTCTCGATGCCATGCGAAGGGAGTTCATTTACTGGTACCCCTTGGATGTCCGCATCAGCGGAAAGGACCTGGTCAACAATCACCTAATCTTCTTTCTCTACATCCACCAGGCTATCTGGGGAAAAACAGTCACCAAACTTACTTCCAAGGGGCATTAGGCTCAATGGCCATCTAATGCTGAACGGAGAGAAGATGAGCAAGAGCACAGGAAACTTTCTCTCCCTTACCAGCGCAGTACAGAAGTTTGGGCGGATGCCACTCGAATCGCGCTGGCCGACGGCGGAGTGGCATCGACGACGCCAATTTCGAGGAGACAACCGCCAACGCCACAATCCTGAAGCTCTATGAGCTGAAAAGATGGATCGAGAACGTCATCCATTACCCACGGCTGCTGAAAGCCGACGAGGAGTTTAGCCATGTCAGGGTCGCAGAAAAGCTAGATAGTGTCGCCTCCATTCAAAGAACAGGTGCCAGGACATTCTGGGACATGCTATTTTTGAACGACCTGAGCATATTGATCCGTCAAGCTGTCCAAGCATACCGGTTGTGAGTCCAAGCTCGCCTCGTTGCCAAATCTGGCACTAATAGCAAACAGGACGAATTTCAAGGCGGTGCTCAAGTTTGGCTTCTATGACTTCACTGCCGCCCGTGATAGTTATCGTGCAGCCTCCCATGCAGCGTCGATCGGGATGCATCATGAGTGCGTCCGATACTGCGTCGGATGCCAGGCGCTCATGATGTGTGTCTCTGCACCGCATTGGGCAGATTACGTCTGGAGAGAGATTCTGTTGAAAGTAGGTGAATCTGAAGTGCAAGGCTGAGAGGATATAGTCTCTCACCGACATATGTTCTTCGAATAGCACTAACTCGTTTTCTGCAGCCTTCTACAATCCAGCTTGAACCTTTCCCTGAGGTGCCTGAGCCCAGCCGGGAGCTTGAATCAATTTCCGACTACATTAGGAAAACAACAACTCGTGTCTTAGCGGCCCACGCGGCTCAGCAAAAGCGCCTAGCGAAGGGGAAAGGGGTGCTTTTTGATCCTGGCAAGGACAAGTACCTCAACATCTACGTGGCAAAGTCCTGGCCCTCATGGCAGAAACGATATATTGATCTCGTTCGAGACATGTTCGAGGGCATCACCTTGGATGTCAAGAGCGTGGCAAAGCAGGTGGAAAAGACGGATATAAAGAGGGCTTTGCCCTTTGTCCAGGAGCTCAAGCGTAAATTGGAATCCGGAGAGGCACCTAACGCCGTGCTTGATAGGACCTTGGCTTTTGACGAGACAGTGGTTTTGCAGGAACTGGTGCCGGTCTTACAGTCGACTGTGCCAGGTCTCAAGGCGGTGAAAGTAATTGTTATGGAAGAGCAAAGCCAAAACGGAGGGAAATCAGGTGAGAAGATCACAGCAAGCGGCATCCCGCAAATCGCAAGCTCAGCGGAACCGGGTAACCCCGCGTTTGAGTTTCACAACGTGTGACGGAAGGGCATGGTAGCTCGAGAAGGAACCAGAGGATGAGCCGGGAGGTCGTCACCTGAGCGGCGGCACGACTTTTCGAGAGTTTGACAACACATGCATCTAGCGAGGAATTTTGCATGGTCGATGTTATATCCGCGGCGAGCTAGAGCTTCGCAACTCTCACCTCCTCTCGTAGTGCTCCTATTTCCTATACCACATCCTGGTAATCTTTGTCTTGCGCATCTTCCTCTGTAGCTGAAAGACGCCATACATGAGCGCCTCGGCCGTCGGGGGGCAGCCGGGAACATAAACATCGACCGGCACGATTCTATCGACGCCTCGAACGACCGAGTAGCTGTAGTGGTAGTAGCCGCCGCCGTTGGCGCACGAGCCCATCGAGATGACCCAGCGCGGTTCGGGCATCTGGTCGTAGCACTGGCGGACCGCGGGCGCCATCTTGTTGGTCACGGTGCCCGCCACGATCATTACGTCGGCCTGGCGCGGCGACGCCCGGAAGATGATGCCCAGACGGTCCTGGTCGTAGCGCGGCATCGACACGTGCATCATCTCGATTCCGCAGCATGCCAGGCCGAACGTCAGCGGCCACAGGGAGCCCTGCCTGGCCCAGTTGACGAGGCCGTCGAGGGATGTGCTGGTAGATGCAAGTTGATGCGTCTCAGTACTTGTATACTCTTGAGCAGCAAACAAGTAGGAACACCAACAGTACGTATTCTGCCAGAGCAGACGGCTTTTTCTCCGTTGATAGTGCGGTGGTGGTCGTGGCAGCGGCGGGCAGGGGTGATCTCTCGGGACGTGTAGATGGGGCTTTTCCAGAGTAATACCGATATCTCTGGCTTATACCTGTCGAGATGACAGGCAAAGGAGCACGTCTGGCTGCTGGCAAGCGTTTGGTGAGAGTATGACGGTACATGTTGGAATCGGATCGTGTCTCGTGCCTTGGGTTAAGCAGGTGTAGCTTGAGGGAAGTAGTAAGCTCTCGTAGAAAACCACACCCATTCTGCTCATCCAGGGCTCTCCGGCCCTTGCAGGGCGCCTTCGCAGAGGGACCGAGGACCTGGAGTGGTAAGACGGTCGGGGGAATGGGCGGTAGTTCGACATTTTCGAGCCCTACCAAGACCCGTATACTTCCAGGTTAGGAAAGCAGAGCGACCCACTAGTACCCTGTAAATTCCGAAAAATCCCATATGCATGCACCCCGTGACCCCGTCACTGTTAGCCTGTCAGGGACTCTTAGGTAAACCGCTCAAAGCTGTTTACTCCCATCCATCCCTTATTTGTTGCACCCAGTAGTATATGCTCCTACTTATTCCGAGATCTATTCCCTGTCGAGCATGTTTCAGCCATTTCCAGTCCCGGATCCGAAACTCGCACTCAGCTGCACTTCGCCGGTTCGGATCCAATCCCGCTTTGCTAGAAAATCAAGTCTATATACTGCACAAATCCAGTAGTTGTCACTTACACACATTGTGGGTACCCCTTGCACGCGCCTCCTTGACCTATACCAACAGAAATTGATGGTGTAGTCGTTTTCCCCGGGGTAAGGTTTTGGAGGAGGACCCCTGAAGGGACACATCTGCATTTTGGAACGTACCCTGCAGATGGCAATTTTCCAAGCAACCTCGCAGCTATCTGGTCGTTCTCCAGTCCATCTCATATCCTGATTGAGGTGTTGCCTTGTGGTGACGGCAATCGTCGTTCAGGGCTGGCCCCAAAGTCCCTTCATGGTTACCCCCTCCCTCACTTTGACGCCCTTTGTGACTTTCTCCCCTGTATCCACTCGCCAGATGGCCACTTCCCAACCCCCTTCATCCTTGATCTTTTGCATGAAGTCGGTTCTGCACCAGAACGATGCGGTTCGAGTGGCCGAAGCGAACTTGATTGTGTTGAAGACATGGACGCACTCGTCCAAGAGCAGAACCTCCCAGCCCGCCATCCCTTCATCGTGTCGAAGAAAGTACCATAGATCCCCGCTCGGAAGGCCGGGTGCAACATCATCGCTCAAGAAAACAAGTACAAAGTGCGGGGTGCGAAGATAGGTGTCTATGAAGGGCGGGAAATCAACGGTGAACTCGGCGATATCCGTGGGAGATACAAGCTTCCCCGGCGAAGTAATCAGCCCAAATGGCATCAGCTGACTCCATATACTGAGGAGCGTCGTGAACTGAGCCGTCCAAGGGACAACTGTCAACTCCTGCATAGGTTCAGAGTTGCCATCGATGTCCCTTGGGTGGGTTACCTCATCACTGGGAGGACGAGCAGACGTTGTAATGGTCCCCTCGCAAATGGATGAGAGAATTCCAGCCAGCCAGTGAGCGGGATAGCCAATCTCGGCCAAGTGGGAGACCAAACGTAGAAAGGCAGTCAAATTGAGAGGCGAGTAGACTGGCCGGTCGGTGAACTTCTCACGAGGGAACGGAAGGCAGATCTTGAGAAAGAAGCCAAACAACCACTTCTCGAGGGCTTGCCTGGACATCATGCCCTTGCCGTGTGAAAGTTTTCGAGCTGGAAGTCCCTCCCACTCCCAATAGCCTTCCAACATGAAAGGCTCTTTGTCCAAAAGATCCACTGGATCCGTGTTTCTCCGAATCATGGAGAAACGATCAGCAATCTGCTCATTTTTGTACATCAGGAGATATTCGGCTTGGAAGTGATCGTGAGATTCGAACATGGGCGGGTTGAGGAGATTGTTGAACTTGAGTCTCGACGGCCTGTCTTCGCGTAGCCGTGGACGACCGTACATGGCCACCGTGAACAGTCCTCCTACATAATCACTAATATGCAGGTTAGCCTAGGGGTCGCGGATCTGCTTGCCAAGCCTTGAAGACTCACGGGATGTTGCTCATATGGATTCGGTCATATGTGCGAGGGAATCCAGAAGGATCAATGCCTCCCGATGGCTGCGACCGGCTATTGAGGCAGTTCCAACGAAGCCGTTCCAGCGTATCACTCATCTCCGCCGCCATAGCCTCTATCGTCAGCCGTGGGTGGAGCTTCTGTATGGAGAGGCCAACAAACGAGAGGATCTCTCCAATCGTAGCAAGTACTCCTCCCTCTCCGAGTCCGTGGCCAGGTGCGAGCATCTTGGCTAGCTGGATCGGGTCGCCCTGAATACCGGGAACCTTGTCGTCTTCAGTACCCCGACCCATTGCCCACAATTGTCCCGGTGTCATACGGCTTTGGTACAGCTCTTCCGTTCTGACCGAGGATTCGATATGATCAAAGTCGATCAACGTCCAGTTGGTAACCCAGGATGCATCTATATGATCGGAAAGCCGCTTTGCCGCGTCTTTCGAGCCCGCGTTGTATTCCTGCATGAGCGCAACGAGCGGAGGGTCGCGACGCTCGGCGAAGTCGGTGGATGGAAGCACGAGGCACAGCTCGTCAAAGCATTTGCGGTCGTTTTTGTAGCGTTCTGGGGTCTCATCGTCAGACATAGGTATGAGATTTCCAAACACCATCCTCGCCTTGAGTTTCTCCCTCCGAAGTCTGTTCTTGACTGCGTGTCTGACAGCTGGCACGCGGTAGTAGCTGGCGTCCAGTGGTTTCTGCCATTGTCTCAAGACATGTGCAACCTTTTTTCGAGTAGATGCCGGCACATACAGCCAGTCAAACAGCTCCTCGTCCGTCTCCATGGCGGGAAGTAGCGCTTCGATGTGGTCCTGGACCTTCTCGATGACAGCAGCAGGGACGACAGATCCCGCGAAGATGTATGCCATGATAATTGGCAAATCCTCAATCCATGGAACCTTTCTGACATGCAGTTCGCACCAGGTCATTATCATGTCGAAAAAAGATGAGTGTTCGGGCAATGGCTGCCGGCCTGAGGTCTACTAGCGTTATATGGACATTCTTGCAAACATCCTTTCGTGTCTTTATCTCCTTGGACGCCATCGCGAGAAGCGTTATGAAGACGTGGCGAGCGTCACCACTGCCGCAAAACATTGAGGATACAGTGTCATCGGGCGAACAAGCATTGGCCAAGGCATCGCCCCACAGCGGTTCTGATATGTCGTGTCCGACAGCGTAGTATTCTGGTATGTCATCTCTGGAGGTAGCTCGGAGTCAGCAGCCAGATACTGTCAAACATGCAAGAGGTGTGGGATCTCTGAGCGTCTAACGTACAAGGGAGTCTGAAATCGAGGTATACGGTCGAATACCAACTGTCGATGGCTTGCCAGGCTTTCAGAGGACAGTGTCCAGTCAACAAGAACATCTAAGCTTCGGCAGGCGGAATTCTTGGTCTTCTCGTCCCGTATCTCGTCAATGATCTTACGGGCGTCATCGAACCGTGATTCGTGCATGTAGCATTTCAGCAGCCGCTCATAGAGCGTCTGCTTCTTGCGGGCAGCGACATCGTCGGATCCGCCGTTCTTGATCAGATTCAAGGCATTGAGCAAGTATTCGATGGCCATGCCGTATTGGCCCTGTTCAAACTTGACACTGGACAGGTTTGAGACGGGCGCTGCTTCGCCCGGCGCGAGAACGGCAGCCTTTTTGTACTCGATCTCGGCTATGAGCCTCAGTGTGTGAGCGGCGGCAACTCCAGCATGTGCATAGAAGGGTCATGGGGTTGAAGAGTTTACCTTCATCTAATTTACCCTGCTTGTAGGTATAGTTCATTGCCTCGTTTTCTCGCGTGGTCTGCGGAGATGGCCGGTTTGTCGTCCTTGGTGGCCATTTCGGTTTTCGCCAGCCGAAGGGAACTATGCAAGACAAACGATTCGATGAGGAGCACTGCAAAGCGCAGGCAGCAACAGTGGGTAAGAATTTGGAGGTGAAGGAAGCTAAGGACTCGGATTGAAGAAGCCCGACGAAGCCCAACGCACCCGTTCTGCCGTTGCTCCTTCCTCCTCAACGGAGACTGGCAGTTCTTGTAGTTGAAACGAGTTAGACCGCCATTCTAGATTTTGACGCTAACCTTAGCTGAAACAATCAGATAAATACACGTACCGGTGTGTACCTAGGTGGAGCACTGGAGATCGTGGGATCGCGTATCAAACGCAACCTTTGCAAACGCGGAAAAGCTCAACTCGTTTTTGAAGATTTTTCAAGGTTCACGCACACATCCACGACTCCAATCTTCAGGCTCGAATGCATCTGGCTTACAGCAAGAAACATTTTTCGACGACCTTGTAGTTCTCTTGCCCTCATTGACACCTACCTATTCACTGTGATGCAATCCATAATTTTTGGGGCATTACTGCACGGCGGTCAATGTCTTCGCGGGCGGGGAACGGTCTGGTGGGCGTCGGGGTCGATGATTCCCGGAAAACGGGGACACCACTGCATGAACGCACCGCTTCCGCAAACGAGAATCTCCGACTGGAGGCAGCCAGCCTTATGTTGTGCAAACCGAGCTTCGCAGACGTGCAGCCGTCACGGGCGCATTGGTGCTAGCATGCGATGCAAGGCTTGGGACCACCTTAAACACCAAGGTTCTGATATATCTTTCAGCCAGATTGGATCCGTGGCAGATGAACGAACGCCATGAAGCAAACACCCCAAACCATCGGGCCGAATTAACAAAAATACCAAAATCTACTGGGCAGTCGATGACTTGCTGACCCCTGAGCCTTGAATACCGTGGACAGGATTGAAGAGCAAACAACAGAGGTGCAAAGAAATCTTCAACAACCGCTCGAGTGGAGCATTGTTCAATTGCAATTAACTACCTAGCTAGGTCAGACCGCACATGATGAAGCGATTCGCGAATGGAAAGAAACACAATAGGTACAGTTAACGTACTACTGTTGCGGAACTGAATGAGAGTCTGCAGTGGTTGCAGGTAACACGACACATCTGATGCTACAATTACCACTACCTATAGAGCGGGGAGAGCGTCTCAGACTCCTGGCAACTTCAAAATTACATTATAGACCCCTGATGCGAAGCCGACACTGGGCGGATTTCATCCACCCCATCCTGATCCACCGGCACCCGTGAATGTGACGGAGGAAATCTTGCCTGCGGCGTCTGAACCGTGACATGCGAAACATACGCCGGAGGCTGCGGCGAGGGAGGAGCCCAGAACGGTGCTCCCGGGACGGGTCCCCTACTCCCCCCAAATGGGGTCCTCGGACTGACACCTCCAGGGTGCATGTGGTGAGGTATCCCTTCGCCCCCAGTCACTGACTGGGAGCGTTGCCGGAACGAAGGTTCTCGTTTGGCGCCGCCTACAGGGCTTCCGGGCATGCTCCGAGCCCAAGCAGCATATCTCTGGCTGTAGTCCGTTGCCAGTTCTGCACGCGGATATATCGGTGACGAAGGCAGCAGGATCGGGGACTGGACCGGTGGGACGTAGGTTGTTGCCTGCGTGCTGACTGCGGGGGAGAAGACAGAGGGAATCGAAGTACCCCAGGCTTCGGACGGAACGCTCTGGCCGTCCTGGCGCGGGTTTGCGTAGTATACCTGCCGACGGCGGACGAGCAGGCAGCAGCTGGCAACCAGAGCGAGGAGACCAAAGAAACCCCCTATCGCGATGCCCGCTATCGCGCCGGTGCTCAACACCGGGGCGGGGCCCTCTGTTTCGTTTCCAGGGTTGCTCTGAGTTGGAGCAGGGGTAGGAATAGACCTCGTCGGGCTACGGGGTGTTATGACGGCCTTTCTTGTCATTAGAGCCGTCAGCTCAGGGGCTACGAAGCCCGATGCGGGTTTCGTCGCGGTTGCGCCGCCGGTTTTGTCTCCGCCCACGGCCGTCAGGATGAAGCTAGGCACGGTGTAAGTCGTGACGCTGGGTATGTACTCGCCCCAGATGTCATTGTCCGGATTCTCTTGCGACAGGGCCATGTTGTGCTGCCCCCACACCGACTCGGCGTCGCACATGAAGTCGGTGTTGTTGAAGTACGTGCCCCCAATGATCAGCATCTGCGCGTTGCGGACAACGTTGCAAGTCATCATGCTCTTGGGGTAAGGGCCTGTTACGTTGCTGCCCAGTGGGTAGGGGCCGCGGATCCACTGGAAGCTGGGGATGGACAGGACGTAAATGTCGTCGTAGCCCGTGGTATCCGGCGGGAAGCCCGCGCCTCCGTAGAGATAACTGCTCGCCTATTAGCACCATGTTCTTGCACTGGCAAGGATAATGTCTGGTGTTTACATGTTGTAACTGGACTGATCTTGAGCCCACGTAGCCCCTGCGCAGAATCGCCGTCGGCTCTCAGGGGTGCGACCCGACGTTTTTTGGGCGTACCACTTCCCGTTTGCAACGTCGTACAGGAAAATTGTGTCTAGCGGCTCGGGAGTCAGGGTACCGTTTCCGTACAGGTCCTTGCTGCCGCCAAAGTACACCAACATGCCGGCATCTGCGATGGGGATAAACACCATGACGCCGTCTGCCCTCCTGACGGTGTCGGGTCCCGTGAGGTTGCTCCAAGTGTTCGAGTCCATGGTGTACTTGATCAATCTGTTGGAGGCCAAGGGCGGCCCTGTCCAACCGGGAACCGATGCGTTGTTGAACCAGCCACCATAGTAGTACGCCTCACCCCTCGAGGGGATCGAAACACCTGCACCATAACTCGTCGGAATAACGGGTCCGGTTGGCGGACCGAGCGAGTGCCAGTGGTTGTGTAGGATGTCGTAGCTGTACAGAACAAAGTTGGTGGGCAGTCCCTGAGTCGTTTCACCCCCAAACAGGTAAAGCCGCTTGTTTACCGAGTCGTCCCACAACGCTCCGCCGTGAACGCTCGGAATTGTTGCGTTTTTGGAGAGATTCGCGTGTAGAGTGGGCATTCCTTGGGCAGAGTCGTCAAGGTCGCTGAAGACGAGAAAGGGGTCTGCAAGAATGAGTACTCGTTAGGGCAAGGCGATACAGATCAAGCTATGAGAGTGTTAGGGAGAGACCAACTTGTGAGATTCTGAGACGTCTCGGTGAAGGGCTTCCAGTTCACGAAGCCGCCATCGACATACAGTTTACTGTCGACGACGGCCGACTGATGGCCGAATCGCCGGCAGAAGTCCCTTACCGGGTCCCATTGAGCCAGGGAAAATGCGACCAGGTTTGGGAGCAGAAGGAAAAGACAGAGCAGGCAGCTCTGCATCTCTTTTTGCGGGCACCAGCCGTAATTTGCGTGGAATGGCCGATCAAAAGGGGCAGCAGCCACGGCGGCAGACAAGATGTCAAAGGTCACGAAGCCGCAATCGGGCCGCGCACATGCAGCGACGCTCAACTTAGATTTTCATGATATCCCAGGTTGAATGGGAACTGAGTCGTCGCGACTGTCATGAAGTTGAACGGAGCAAAACAACCCCTCAAGGCATGGGGCCGGCCGTGGTGATCAGGACCCCTTGATGCCGCGTTTGTGGCGTCCACAGCCCACGCAGCCAGTCTGGCAACGGTCATGCGCAATCGCAATAACAATGATTCAGGACCTTAGGCTTTAACGGCAGGCTCTTCAATTTCAGCAAAGGGAAGAACGTGTCGCTTCTCGCGACTGGACTGAGCAGCGAGGTGGCTTGCTTGGTACAACAGGGAGCAGCCAATCCCGACGCTCACCGGCGGCAACTCCGCCATTCTGGCTGAGCGCCCCGAAGAATTGCTTGGCACCCAGCGTTCTGCGGCCAACCACTGCCCTGTGAACAATGACTTATCGGGCCCTCCTGTCTCGGTTGATGCCCTCTTAGCGGCAGCTGTGCCTCAAGTGGCGTCGGCGCCCTCATCTTGTCACCAGACAGTCTGCCTGCCAAGCCAGCACAACACCCATACGGGCAAGGGGAAGATGATTGGCGGAAGATGCTTGCCATTCTCTTCGTTGTTTGAACCAAACTGTCGGAACCAGAAGGGCAACGAGCGGGACATGATCCACCCGCTCGGTGCTCCCACCGTGTGATTCTTTCTGATATATGTACAGTACAGTACATATAGTCCATCCCCCTGGCAGCAACCAAACGCTCAGCCTTACAAGACGACAGCGAGAATCCCCGGCAGATGATGCCAGAACTGGTTGTGCCATGAGCCTGGGAAGAAATCCACAGTACCGTTTCGCAAGTAACAATACCTACTGTAACACTTCAGGTTGTTCAAGCGGACTGGGGAGTTTACTTGACCTATGAGTAACTAGGTACTTAAGGTAAGCCTAAGCGGAGTCGGCTCGCTGTAAAGGTACATGTACCTATGATTGCTACATGTACCAACCATGTAAGTCATTGGAGGAATGCTCGCCAGAATCGGAAACATGAGTCGTCACACGACTCACGGGCAGGTAATAAGATCAAGCTGAATAATGTCAATCGGGACTCGCTGGTGTATACTGCAGTGAAGCTAGGTAAGGTAGGTACCTTCTATTGCATGTAGTACTACACGACCAGACTCCCGACCCTTAGTACCTAAGGTAAGTAGGTACCTATGCATATCGCTAGATAGGGTGATGTCCTCTCCACCATTGCAGCCGATATCATGTGGTATGTACCTTACATTTGCAGCATACATCTCAGTACTACCGGTACATTAGTTGAATTGACCCATATGTCATTCCAAGCAGGGAGAAGTCTCTATTACATGTACGTATCACTAGCAACATTACAACGGGATTCACCTATATATCTCAGTCCGGTGCAGGCAAGGCGAACATCAATGACAACCATAATGGGACATTGATGAGGCCCAGTTGGACACCCATATGGGCTATGATTCAGGTATAATATCGGTCATTACCGGCTTTTCCTTCGTTTGTTTCATACCTGCTTATATGTTAAGGTGTAGTGTCCACGGTACAAAGGTTGCTACTAGTGAGAGACACCCCCTCTGTCCCTGACACAGTTGCACTTAAGTAATTGTTTGCTTTAAGAAGCGTGCGTTTGAGCTTCTACGCTATACCCTCACTAACGAGTGCCCGATCTTGGGGAGCGGGAATAGGGGTATTCAGTGCATTGATCCTGCTTCACTTACAACTCAATGCTACACTACATGTAGGAGATAAGAGCATAGAGACATAGAAGTGGCGAGGGCCATCTGGTACTATGTTGGTGTTGAATACAACTGAATCGCTTTGGACCGATAGCATATTTCGCCACTTTGTCGCCATCCTTCCAGTCCAGCCCGGCTACACCAAACGCCGTTGTTATCCGAAAGGCGCACCGATATGTCAAAGTCGTGCAGGCCTGCAGGGTGTGCGGAGCTGCAACGATCCGCTGCGACCCCGTCTGCAGGCGGACCCCCTCCAGCCGAGACAGTCGAGTTGCCATGGCAAGCTTGACCCGAGATCTGCACAAGCAAACACAAGAAGGTTATGGAAACCCAGCGATGGTCTCGATGCTGCTCAGGCCCTCTCGACGTATCAGAGTGTCTTTGAAGTCCATCCGTCTTTGTTAATAGGTATGTACTACTCTAAGGGTTTGGTAGGAGACGGGAAGTAGCAAAATCCTCCACATTGTAACCCCAAGCCAGTCCAACATCGGAAATTCCAGGTCCTTTACTCCACCGTATCCACTGCGGGTAGTGCAGTTCCTAGGGTCCAGATCCGCCATCCGAACCGCAAAGTAGGGGTAACCAGTGCAAGTCTAACGTCCTGCAAGCGATCCCTGGCGATAGCTGCAGGCTTGGCACACCGCTATCGATGCCGGGTGCCTGTGTTTCCACCAGGTGGTGTAGAAAAACTTGAATCCCCCACTTTGCGATACAACTTGACCATAACCTCTGCCTTTGACTTTGACAACTCTTTTCCCACCGGGTGAAAGTGAAGGTTGGCAGTAAGGTTCGACTGGGGGCGTCAGCATGGACGAGTCTCAGCCCTTGCTTAGAAACATCACCCCTGAGAGACATCAACAAGCATACACCAACCCGCTCCCGGATGAAGATGGCGGGGCCGACATCGCCGAGACCATCATCGTTGACTTCGACCCGCTGGGCGACCCGGACAACCCGCTCGAGTGGCCGACGCCGTTCAAATGGACCGTTGTGAGCATGCTCGCCTTTATGGCCTTCACTGTGTATGTACAGCCCCTTTTCATGGAAGTTTCAGGGGATTCACCTTCCCCCCTCCCCAATGCCTTACTATATTATCTCACCTTGCCACTAACCTCAGAATATAACGGCTAGCACAATGACCTGCATGAGCGTCGTCCCCCTGGCCTCCAGAATCGTAGATGACCTCACACCACCCAACACCCCCTCCTCATCCACCAAGTCCGCCAGCGTGCTACTCGTGACTATCTGGGAGCTAGGCGAAGCCGCGGGTCCATTATTCATCGCCCCCCTCTCAGAGCAGCTAGGCCGATACCCGACCATGAACGGGGCGAACCTCCTCTTTGTAGCCGCTACCGTACTCGCCGCCACGTCGGCGACTATCCCGCGGCTGGTGCTCGCGCGCATGCTGACGGGCCTCGCCGTTGCGTCCAACGTGCTCGGCCCGGCCATCGTCGGCGACATTTTCCCCCAGGAGCATCGGGGCGCAGCCCTCAGTCTGGTGTATCTTGCCCCGCTGCTCGGGGGCGCCATGGGCCCGCTCATCAGCAGCGCCGTAGCCCAAGCGTGGGGCTGGCGCGCTGTCGTCTGGATGACGGTCGGTCTGGCTTCGGGGTGTGAGGTGCTGTTCCTGACGTATTTCCGCGAGACGTACAAGGTTGCGATTCTCAGGCGGAGGGCGGCAAGGCTGGCGCTGCTGGCGGGGGGTGGTGATGACAAGGGTGGTGCCAGTGGTGATGCCCGCCAGAAGAGGTTCAAGACCGCGTTTGATGAGGCCGAGAGGGGAGAGGCCCGAGGGGAGGAGGAGGGTTTGTGGGCGGTCGGGAAGCTGCGGGATGCGGTGCTGCGTCCGGGCCTCGTGCTCTGCGGCAGCGGCGTGCTCGTGGCGCTGACTGTCTTCAGCGCCGTCGTCTTCACTTACTTTTACATCATGAGCACCACCCTGTCGGATATCCTGCAGGATATTTACGGGCTGACGCCTGTCGCGACAGGGTTCTGCTTTATGAGTTTCAGTAAGTTCTGCTCCAGGCCTCGGCCGTGTAACAATGATGTGTTTCTAGTGAGGGCTGACCGCTGGGCAGGTGCTGGCTCATTCATCGGCGTCGTCATATGTAACCGCACGCTCGACCGCATCTACATTCGGATGACCAACACGCACAAAGGTGTCGGCAAACCCGAGTTCCGCCTTCCGCTGGCCATTATCGGCGCCTTTACCTTGCCGCTGACTGTGGGCGCGTATGGCTGGGTTGCCGAGCTGCGGCTGCCGCTGGTGTTTCTGCTGCTTTCCGTCAGTTGCATGGGCACGACGCTAATGCTTGGGATGCTCCCGGTCACGGCCTACGTTGTCGACGCATTCGGCTTGTATTCGGCCTCGGCTATGACGAGCGTCATCGTCACGCGCTGTCTGATGAGCACCTTTTTGCCTCTGGCGACGCCTGCTCTCGTCGACGCCTTCGGTTATGGATGGGGGTTCATGGCTTTCACTGGGCTGGGCTTGCTCCTGGCACCCATCCCGGTTCTGATGTTACGTTACGGGGCGCACTGGAGAAGGTCCTCCAAGTACACCCGCGAGGCATGAGTGAATGATTGTGTTATGACGGGACGGACCAAAAGTTAGGACCGAAGTCATGTGGGGCCGATAAAAAAAGTGCAACAAGACTACGCGTTCGAGGGTACGCCAAAATATACAGGCTATATATAGCTAATAATGATGCAGGAGCAACAGCTGGGTTTGTGTTCAAAGTCCTTCAACAACGGGTGGCCTAGTATGCTTGAGTTCAAGTTCTGGCTGCTAAGAGCGGGCAGTGGCCGTCGCAGTGGCATGAGTGGGATTCAAGGCGAGAGTCTTATCGATGAACCAGCCACGTACACACCTTTCGACGAGCCCTCCTCTCGGGCTCTCATCTGCGTTCATCTTGGCCGCCGGAAATACCCTGCTAAGTCGACTCGAATCTCTCGGCCTCCCCACAGCCGGAGCGACATGGAAGACACTGGTGTCGCGGACGGTCGCCTTGCATGATGCGAAAGAGATGTGATTGCGTTGGAGCAGTCGCGTTGCCGCATATACGACCATATCGACTGATTACCATGTGCATAACCGCAGAGGTGTCTGACGTGGTGATACAAGGGACTGCATTAGAACTTGCCGTTCGTGAAGTCGAGCACTGTGGTTTTTGCTATGAGTGGCTCAATCTCCTTCTTGAAGGCTTGATGGGCCGGGTCTTGCTCGACGTAGTAGTTCCGGTCGTCCGCGTTGGCGAAGTGCACGATGAAGCCGTGTGTCAGGCCATTCTTTGATGGGTGTCCGTTAGCCCCCATTGGCAGCGCCTCGGGATGTTTAAAGTCATGTAAGAACAAACCTGCAAGCCTTCGTTCGAATTGTACTTGCCGCCCGAGATGCCAGTGATGTAGGGATGCTGCGAGTTTGGCGCGAGGCAGTTGTCCTTGAGCGCCAGGAACTTGGCGCATGCCTTGATGTCGTTAGCAATTCAGTTGCCTTGTGATGTGGCCATCTGACCGTGACAGGTTGTACCATACCGCATCAACTGCAGTGGCTCCCGCATTGGGTTTGAATTCGAACAGTACGATGTGTGTGATGAAATTGGTCGTGCCTGGCGTCTGGTTTGCCATGGATGATGATGCGAAGCCAATCGGGTCGAGGAACAAAAAGACGCCGAGCAAGACCGAGACAACGAGGACGATCCGAAGCGCGTGGGGCCGGGCATTTGATATATCAACCATGCTTCTATTGTGGCTTGAATTGTAAGACTGGTGTGTGGTGTGGTACTGCGAATGATGCAATGCGGAGCAAGAAATGTGAAGACAGTTGTTGGTAAACGTTAGATCTGGACAAGGGTTTAACAGAGCTGAATCCTTCCAGTTCCTTGCGGCAGGTGCTTCGTAGCACCGTGCCATTGAAGTTCATCAAACCCCATCTACAACAGCATCAACTGCACGTGATCATAACGATCTTCCAACAATCCTCAAGATATATTAGGTAGCTTTTGTTGCTATCTCCTGTTAGAAGTCATAGATTGAGATTGCTCGCTCAATTTAGAATTTAATTAGAGCCAGTCATCTCACTAGACGGTGGACGCAAGACAGCAAGTGAGAGTCTCCAGGCTTCGAAATCCCATGGGCCTACACCGGCACGATTGCGCCTGCGACTCGAATCGACATTTGTAATGTCCCTTGGCACTTCCGGGTAAGGTACCTGCTTAGGCCTGAGCCAAATCAGGTACAGAGGAGTCGGTCTCTGTTAAGAGGGGTAGTAGAGAGAAGAATTTTCGCATACAAAAGTTTGGGTAGCACTAACAGCAGGTACTGTATGTACATTTGTTGGACTCGGTTAGAGGAAAGAACGGGGGATGTTGCGTCATGATTGCTGTCACTGAGAGAACAGGACTAACCTTATCACGTCTTAAGGTTATCTAAGGTACCTTAACTCCGACAGCTCCGTAACTGCCGTGTTATGTGTACGTCCACACCAAAAATCCTCGATTCACAGTCAAGGCGGTTGAGCCTGGTCAATTCGCACAAGCAATATGGCGCCCCTTACTATCGGCACAAGGATCAAGCTGCCTAGCGGTTACGAGATTCCCCAGCTGGGACTCGGTGTAAGTACTAACCTGCGGCGATATCACTCGACTCGATATATCCCTGAGACGGGCAACTAATTGCCTCGTTTTCAGGTCTTCCGAACGTAAGAACTTATGACTGCAACCAGGGACTGCAAGTACTCAGACCGGATAGACTGACTGCGAGTGTGCAGACCACCAAAAGACACCGAAGGATGTGTCAAGGAGGCATTCACAGCCGGGTATCGACACGTATGCTACTATTACCCGTTCTGGGACGGATCCATCTCCCACATACACAGCCCGTTTGACACCTGAAATACAGATTGACTCGGCAGCATACTACAGAAACGAGGCCGCTTGCGGACAAGCCATCAGGACCTCCTTAATTTCCCGAGACGAAATCTTCTTTACCTCCAAGGTCCCGCCCTCCAACCTTAGCTACGAAGGAGCCGCGGCCCAGGTCAACAAGACGCTCGCCCAGTCGGGCCTCGAGTACATCGACCTCATGCTGCTGCATGCACCTTACGGCGGCTCGGCGAGGCGCAAGGGTGCCTGGAAGGCCTTAGTGGAGGCTGTCGAGGCCGGCAAGGTGCGCAGCATCGGAGTGAGCAACTACGGGGTGCACCATCTGGACGAGCTGGAGAGGCATATTGCCGAGCTCGAAGCCGAGCGCGGGGGGAAGGGCAAAGGGGGCGTCATCAGCGTCGGCCAATGGGAGATCCACCCGTGGTGCGCACGCAGAGACATCGTTGAGTGGTGTTCCAAGCGCGGCATTGCTGTCCAGGCATATAGCCCCCTGGTTGTCGGACAGCGCTGGGGTGAGCCGGTGCTCAAGAAGCTCGCCGACAAGTAGGGCAAGAGCGAGGCCCAGATCCTGATCCGCTGGAGCTTACAGAAGGGGTTCATCCCGCTTCCCAAGAGCGTCAAACCCGAGCGCATCCGGGAGAATGCCGATGTCTACGACTTTGAGCTTACCCCGGAGGAGGTCAGCGAGCTGGAGACGGACGAGTACTCGCCTGTCTGCTGGGACCCAAACACGGCGTCGTTGGATGAGTAAGTGATCATTGCAGAGATGTTCAGGCATCGATTTGGCGGCAGACACTTCACGAATTGAAAGTACCAGTAGCCAACAAAAACGGCCGATAGCACATAAGCAATGAGAAGTACTGGAGAGATATTGATACATATCCCGCTCCTCATCGGTTTTCCTGGAACTGCTTTACTGTCCGGTTCAACCCAGCCACAGTTGCCCCCTGATACCTCAGCTAAACCACTACTAACCTTTACTCTTTCACGATGTACAATCTACCCCTTCCCTGCTACTGGCTACGCGATGGTGTACCACCTCCAGCTAATTCCGCAAGCACGGTGAGCACCACCCTAATACATGCCTTCCGTTTCCGCCCTTGCAAACAGCTCGCCCACGCCCACCAGCTCTCCCCAGCCCAGAGCCTCCCTCCCAATTTCCAGCACCCACTCCAACTCATCCAACGACTCACCCGCACCGGGCCAAACCCCTCCCTCACCCAAACCCGGTCCAACGCTCATAGCCCCAACCGCAAATGCCAGTGTCAGAACAATCCACGCAGTAGCGTCCCCGGCGGTTACACACCCTCCCGGCTGGCGGAACTCGACCGTCCCGGTACCACCTCCACCAGGCGTCACACCAGTAAAATTCCACTTGTACACCTTCCCATGAAGAAAGCTCTCATGAGCCTGCATGCGACGCACCCTGCCCAAAGGCGAGTCAGCCGAGACCAGATTCATGCACTCCACGACCCGTTCCACACCCGCATCACCAGAACCAGGAGTAGCGGCAGCCTCATCAAGCCGAGCAAGACACTCCCCCAGCGACAGCCCCGCTAGCGGGGGACTGCAGCGGTTGCTCTGGCACCAGTACGACTCTGAGTTCGAGCGGCGGCCAGCGGGCATGAGCCTGTCCAGCGCGGGTTCAAAGTACAAGACTGTCTTCGCCAGCGCGGCAAGCTCGCCCGCGGAGAGCGGGACGGGGGTGCCGGACAGGTGGATGTGGGTGGAGCATTTGGGGGAGGGGGCGATGAGGAAGTGCTTGTGCAGCGTGGCAAAGATGGTGGTTAGGTCAGACTGCCAGCGGGAGGTTGCCGTTGCTGGGTAGATGGGGGAGACAAGTTCGATGCCGTCTGTGGGGGGAGGTTAGTTATCTCAGCTGTTAGGGCCGAGTCGTGGTGAAGGGGCAGGGGAAACAGGAGAGCAAAGGGACGCTGGAGACCGGGACTTACAGTGGTCGTGTGACGGCGGGATGCTGACTTCCTGCACCAGCGACCATTTGCGGTACTTGCTGGCCGACTTGTCGTTGCTCGCCTTGATGTGGTTGGCGATGCCTGCCTTGGTGAGTCGCTTGTTCACTTCTTCGGCAAGGGACTTGAAGGTTGGGTTTTTCTGCTTGCGGCTTCCGAGGAACAGTTCTATCTCCACACCGAAGAGGAACGAGCCGTCGTTCATTTTGGCAGATTGGGATTTCAGGGGTAAGTGGAAAGTTGAGCTCTGGCTCGGGAGATTGACATTAAAAGAGCATATACAGCACAGAACAGGACAATGTCTGCCGAACCACGATGAGAAGATGGATTCGCGAGTATGTCTTGACTTTATTTATCGTGGTACTAGAATCGTGGCCCAGTTGCTGGTACTCACCCGACATTGAGCGTCGTACCGTACAACGTAGCTCACAAGCGACATCATGAAGACGCCAACCGGGCATCCAAGACCCGACGATTTCACGAAAGCCCATTCAACTTTTACTCCAGTAAGCTGGGATCCACGGTTCGATATCCAGTAACGTGTCTTTCACCAAGGGCCAACTGAAACCTCTAGTCCAGGACAAAGGGCTGAGTGGTTGTCGATCTTCAGTCCTTCGACAATCTAGGGCTCCTCATGTGGTCAGTGAAGGTGAAGAATGGTGAGACCATGACGAGACCCCGAGAAGGGCTCCATCGTGCGGTCATTGCCCGTCATTCGGGGTGACTATCACTCGTGGACCCTCGACGAGTGGCAGCCGAGACCACCGCAGGTGACACACTAGGGGCATGACCTGGTTCTCAGCGTCTCGCCTGAACCATGGGATGTGGATCGTAGGGGAATCTAGAGTAGTACTTCGTGGGCTTAAGGCTCCTGGTGATCCACATGGCGTGGAGAAAAGGGGCTATGCCACTAACGACCCCTGATGGCGCTTGTGTAGGAGCCCTGCGAGGTCGCGGAATTAGCTTTGGATCTTGATATCACACAACTGTAAGCGCCGTCAGATCTGTTTCTGTTCTAGACATAACTGCGGCGTCAAGATGTGAAAATCTTTCCAAGGCTGGACGCGGTACTTTCCGCTCACGTAGGGGAAAACAAGTGCGGTCGCTGAAAAGGGGCGTGGAGAGGCACCCAATCATGCGCTTCTTCGAGAAGCAACCTGCAAGGCGGCTGTCTCACCACCACATTCGAGAGAGAGCAGAGCCGCATCGTCATGTGGTACAGGATTGAAGGTCGGGCTAAGCAACGGTGTGGGAGTGACGCTACGGTGCGGCGAGAGGCGGTCCCCTGTGTGACTTGTTTGCCTAGGTCGGCGGCTTTGCCAAACCTAACGCGGCGTCGTTGGCAGTGCAATTGGCGAGGCGCTTCGAAGCATTTCGTTGAGTTGGAGCGGGGCCTGGTCTTCCAAGTTTCGCCGAGAGGGTGTACGGTCTGGCGGTGTAGGCGACCCTAAGCGCCGGACTAAGCAAACAGGTTGCCGGGATCGACCTGCTTAGCCTCGCGATCGGACCCCAAAGGATGAAGCGCCAATATCAGAAGCAACTATGGGACCAGGACCAGGCTCAGCAGGCTAGAGGGTGACTGCCAGGAGAAGGGCTTTAACATATTTGAAATACGACGCCGCCGGCATGAAACAGCCGCTTTGACCTTGGGAGCTTCGGTGCCGGGATGGTAACTCGGGCCGCAGCCTCGGCCGCACACTGCGTCGATCCCGATTTGAAACTTGGCTACCTAAGATAACATCGGCTTGTCCTTGCTCAGAGCAGCTAGAAGATTAAATAAGAAGTCGGCTAGGTAGAACAGGAAGAATGCACTATAACGGTGGCAGCAATAAACAGTGTTGAAAGGAGATGAACGTTGGAAATTTCCAGGTATGGGCTCAGGGGAAGATCAGTAACATCATGATAATAAAGGCTCCATATCTGCATGTGCAATCTGGCAGCATCAAGAGCCGTGGTAATGGATTGTTGAATTTCTCACGATATCTACTCAGATAGGTAGGCTACGATGTCACGACGAGTTAGTAGGTGCTCAACTAGGTACTTGGACGTCAACCAACCTCTCGTAGTAAGATACACTCTGTGACTGAGGGTTTGGGAGCCCAGCCCAGTTCCGAACCTTGAAATGTCAAAACCTTGGGTTGATGTGTCCAAGCTATGGATGTTCTGTTTGTGAGTGTGACCTGTGAAGTGAAGGACTTGAAAACAAAGGTGGATTTGGAAAGTCTCATTGATTTCCGTAGTTGTGCTCAGGAGGTGTTGGGTTGTAACGTTAACTCAGTAATGACCAGGAGAGAGATAGGAGTTAGTACGTAATTTAGGTTCGTCGGCAGCCAACTGCAGCAGACTGGTATTTTTTCTTACCTCTTGGTCCTGATTCCAGCCCCCCAGTTTCTGATCTTGTTAGTAAGTTCCTGCTATCCCGTGGGCGGCAACATTGATTCCTCATTCCTGGCGAACTTCAGGTTAGCCTGCATTATATACGTACATGCAGCAGTTTTGTGTAACTGCAGTGCCCAACTTCGAGGAACATCGTATGCATCGTATCTCGCAAAGTTGAGGCAACGTCCTGATAACAATGCAGGTTCAAACCCAACCGCATGAAACGAACCCAAGAGTCGAGTACTGCCTGCTCAAAGTGACTTCCTAGGCAGGCACAAGGCAGCAAGTACCGTCCTGCGGGAAGCCCGCTCCAAAAGCTTCCTTGAGACCTTGACAAACTCAGTGACTCTAGCCACTAAGTATGACACCATCGTCATCTTATGCACGTTTTCGGTGATCTGCATTTCTCAGCAGCGACCTAAATCGGGTTCCCGCCATCGGGGCCCTCAGTAAGATCCACCGAGGTGCCGGTGCCCCGCGCCAAGTGATCGCTTGCAGGACTCAACATCGGACTCTCCCGCAACATCCAACCGCATAACGCTATCGCCTGGCCCTAGGCGCAACAATAGGGGCAGTGTTGAAAATGTCAACCTAGGCATTGTTGCCTGCCGCATTATGCAAGTACAGTAGGTAATTAAATTACCTGTACAATCCATACATAAGGTAGGTGCGGGCGGGTGCGGCGGGCGGGTGCGCCCCACCATGGCCTTTAAAAACCCCACGATCACCACCCCGTCCAAAAGGTGCAAGACCCCTCCTCCCTGCCGACCTCCACTCACTACTGCGACAAAGCAGACCGACCATCTGAACTCGACCCCTACAAACCCTGAAACCCCAACATATCCCCAAAAATGGCCGACAAAGTGCAACACATCGACTCCCTCGCCTCTCTCAAGTCCCTCACGGACAGCACCAAATACGTGGTCCTCGACTTCACGGCCGTGTGGTGCCCGCCGTGCAAGGCCATCGCGCCCATCTACGCCAAGCTGGCGGCCGAGCATGCCGTCGAGGGCAAGCTGGCCTTTGGCAAGGTGGACGTGGACGAGGCGCCCGAGGTGGCCAAGCAGTTTGGCGTGACGGCCATGCCCACCTTCCTGTTTCTTGTCGACGGCGAGCTGGCCGGCGTCGAGGTCGGCGACAAGGTCTCGGGCGGCGGCGCGCAAATGGTGGAGGACGGCAGCACAAAGATCGCCTCGATACGCGGGGCCGACCCAAAGAATCTCGCCGCTGTTGTCCAGGAGCTCGGGAGGCTGGCCAGGGAGGAGGCCTGAGTCGGTGAGTGAGCGTCTGTTAGGCTTATTTCGGTCCTGGTTAGAACGGAGATCCCGACGGCTGCGGGGAGATGCTGACTTATGGGCTGTTTAGGGCGCCTATACCTTGGGTAGGACGTTCTCGTTCTTCGGACTCAGACTGTTATCCGGAGGATGAAGGAGGACTCAATGAAGGAGGAATGCCGTTGTAATAACGGTGCTTTCGGAAGGATACCATGGGATCGACAACTTCCTGATAGAGGAACATGGCAATGGACCTGCGTCCCAAGCCCATTTCCAATACATTACTCAATTAGTTTGGGCAAACTTTCCTGAGCTGGAAATACAAATGTATGTACGCCGACAATGCTTGACCGACAGAAGTCCCCGTGTAAGTAGACACATGCGTGCGGCATATTTTGTCGCAGCTAAACCCAAACCTGCGGCCCTGGGATATTTGACTATAGGAACAACAATTTACCCAAGCATTGCATACTATCCAGTACGCTGTGCACGAACGCCATGCCAAATCCGCAGACGAATGAGCACCGCGCCGTTGAGCCACTCCGTGCCTCCCATCTGGGGGCTTCCCGCACCTCCCGCATGCAAGCTTCTGTTCTCCACTGCGCTTCCTCGCCCTGAACTCTTTGCCGGCGCAACTGCGGCACGTCATCTCCGTGCCGCCAGCATCGCTTCTTCCCGAGCCTGGCCGGTGAGGTCCGAGCTCAGCCGGTTCAGGAGTTGCCGGAATGGCGACCCTTCGTGGCTGACACGCACCGCGTGCATGGACGAACGGCCCCCTCCATCATGTCCCGCTCCACCGCCACTGGGTGGCTGGGCGGAGCTTCCCTCATAGTCGGGGCTTCCTTCTTGTCCAGGCGATGCCGAAGGCCCCGGACTTCGTCGTCGAGCATCGTCAGTCGACCCCCTGACTTCCCCTTCGTCGCCCGAGGTATTTGTCTGACGCCGAGATGCAGATAAAGACAAGCGGCCGCCACTTCCCCGCCTACGTCTACCGTTCAAACCCTGAGTAGAGGAGCTTGCCCTAAACCCCGTGATTCCGCGCCACCGATTCAAATTCCAGAACGACGAACTCCCGCCCGCAGAGTCCAACTGCTGCCGCTCACCATCGTCTGCGGCGTGAAAAGTGAAGCTCGGCGTCGGGGGACACAACGGTCCATCATCTTGAGAGCTCCGCCTATCGCTGGCTGGCCGGTCCTTGAACAACCGCGCCGGGGATTTCTCTGGTGGGCTGCTATAAGTGCTCATTGTGGGACTTGTCACCGTGCTTTCTCCACGAGCTCGAGCTGGCGAGTGGCCAAAGTATGGCTTCTTCCTTGCCTCTCGCGCCGGATTGGCGGCAGAGTTCAGCGATGTTCTACTGGCTTTGGCCGGGCTGATGGACCGCTCGCTGGGAGCTGGGGTGCCCCCGCCGTTGAGCAATCCGCCGCCGCGCCTGTCACCGCCGTTCTCAATGCCTTGACGCCAGCTTAGAATGCGTTCCGGGTGTCCTCCAGTGGCACTCAACTGGAGAGAACCAATCGTAATCGGTGCGATGGACTGGCTCAGCGAACCCCTCCGGCTGTGCACCGTACTGCCGGCACTGGTTCGGGTCAGAACACTGCCACTTCGGCCCAGCCCGTGGCTTATGAAGCCGTGAGCTCCAAGCTTGCGGCTGAATGTGCTGCCAGTCTCCCAAGAATCATGCTTGCGCTTAGCAAAGGCACAATCCTGCCGGAAAACCTTTATAATCCCAGTGTCACCCGTCGTAACAATGATGTGCCCATCATAATGGGTTGACCTCGCAATATAAGCCGCGCTGGGCTCCGGGCGCTTCACTGGCTCAGCGGGCGCTGGCTTCTGTGTGTCGTTGGTCACCGCCACTTGACTCGCTGCAGCGCTCGCGGCTTCTTCGAGGCTCTGAAGCAACACGGGTGGCGGATTGCAAAGGTCGTAGATAGGATCACCACTCTGTCCAAGAAGCATCCTGGTTTTTGTTGGCGCAAATAGCGCCGTTGTGACAATCTCACCATGCGCCTCGAAATATTCACAGGGTGACTTGTCCTTATCTGTAACTACGGCGGCGTGGCCAGTAAGGTTCCAGATAAAGGTGTTTCGGTCCTCGCTCCCGCAGATCACGTACTTTCCGTCGTCAGAGAATGTTGCGGCGATTTGGCTACACAAATTCTCGTGTCCCTTGAACTTCACCTCCAACGACTTGTCACGCAGATTATAGATGCGTATTCGGCTGTCGTTTGATGTAACCAGGACTCGGACTTCTCCGCTGTCTGGGGAATCTGAGGCCTCGGATACTGAGCCAGAGTTTGGCAAGTTTGACGACGCCAGCTTGGTCGGACTTGGCGGCGGAATAGCCACTGTTTGTATACCGGTGATCTTGCTTCCCTTGGCATTTCTCCCCCGAGAAGACCGTACGTGAACCTGAGAGGTCAGGTTCAGTCCTTCAGTTTCATAAAACATGCAGAGCCCGTTGAGGAGGCCTGCTATCGCAACCTTTCCGTCTGGAGAGAAGGCGACAGCCGTGACAAGGTCCGGGAGCTGGGCTGAGAACGCGACAGCCCTGTCCGGGATACTCCACAGCCGTAGCATGGTGTCCAGGGAGCCAGCCAGAAAGAAGCGATCGTCTCGGGGGTGGAAGGCGAGTCTAGTCACAAAGTCTTTATGCTTGAATGTGCAAAGACACTCATCTCTGCTAAGATGCCAGAGTCTGACCGTCTTATCCATGGACGACGATAGCAGGAAGTTGTTCTTGCTCCAACTGAGGTCGAGAACCTCGCCAGTGTGTCCTTGAAACTCCTTGATAGGTTGGTCCCTAAAGACAGGCGCACTAAGCCTCTCTCCAGTGCCGCCACGGGCAGCCTCGTCTTCCTCATAAGCCCGACGCTCCTCGGGGGTGGATAGGACAGCCCACACCCTGACCACGTGGTCTCGCCCTGCCGAAGCTAGGTATCTCCCGTCCTTGCTGAATTCTGTGGCCCAGATAGCACCGCCTGTCCTGGTCAACCTTCTGTCGCTTGTACCAGCGACGCTAACCGTTACCTCGGGGTTCTGGCCTGTCCGCTCGGCAATCTCGTGATCGTCTCCCCGCGGACGTGTCCCGACCAACTCTTGGGCAAGAAACATGCGGTTGAACTCGCGCGTCTTTTTATTGCTCGATCTTATTCGTATGTATCGCGGTGGCTCTTTGTGGTGCGGAACGAACCCCCCACCCACCAGGGGGCTGGCTGGCGACTGGCCGAAGACACGGGCATCAATGCCGCCCAATCGAGCCTCGTTACCAAACTCGGAATCCGAATCAAAGTCTTTGGGGTCCTTCTTTCGGCCACCTCGAATGTTTAGTCGGCTAAGGAACGAGCTTCGGCTCCTGTATCATGTGTGGTACGCGACATGTCAGTTGTCGGTGGACAAGATGCCGTCAAGGGCTACTCTGGAGGGCATACCTCTTGTGGCCGGCCGCCTCACCCACGGCGGCTGCATTTTTCGCTGATAGATCGGAGCTGGGCCGGGCGAGGCCCTCGGCCATTTGGGTAAGGCGCTGCGGAATGGATATGTCGGTAGTGGTATGAGCCCTCAAGGTCAATATATGCTACACGGGAAACTGTCAGCGTCTCCCTAGAGAAATATTGGTAGAAGTGCGTTAAAGCCCGGGCCCTGTACCTGCGACAATGGGTCAATGGTCGAGGAGCCGGACGGTTGGAGGGGAGGTCGTGATAAAGTCCCGGTAGAAGCTACGTCGACAGTACTTCCAGCGCCGTTGCCGGTGCCAGGGATCGATGCGATATCGTTACTCGGCTTGTCCGCATCCTCGATCTCGGCTCCGCCTTCCTTCCGTCCGTCCTTCTCTTTCTGAAGTATTGTGTGGCTGCTCCGAGAGCGTCTCGAGGGGCTGCTTTTACCAGGGCTGAAGGACGGCGGCGTCGGCACACTCTGGGTCTGGGCGCCTGCGGATGCATGTGCTGCCATGTTAGGATGCTTTCGCGACCCAAAAAAGAAATAACGTTAAGAGAGTTGGTTATACGCGTATAATACCGTATAGGATCGTATAATATCGTACACAGGAAGCTCAGTGGAGGGGAATCCACCGGCCGGCCAGACTGCAACTGCAGCAGCGCAAAAGGGTCCCGGGTAGTTGCACAAAGTAGCGTTCGCAATCAAACTACATGAAAACAGGAATAGGTAGGGTGCTCCATACACAGTAATGACCTGGAAAGACTTACCTCCGGCGTCAGCCAGGCTGGCTGATCTCGGCAAAGACCGTGATGATAATGTGCCGAGCGTTCTGCGCGGCGACGGGGGTTCACCGTTAACGTCACTGCTGGATCCCCCAACTCGCGGAGAATTCTCGTGTTGTCGCTCGGATGCTGGCGTGGCGGCCTTTAATGTAATTGTCGACCAGATGCCCGTCATAATCCCAATATGCAGACATGTGAGCCACAGGCGCAACTGCCGATGGCCCTCTCCTGTGCAACGACGGTTGGTGAACGCGAGTTTGCGACAGGGCTGCCAGAAACTCCTCGGACTTGGGTGCCTAGGCGTAACTTAGAACCCGGACCTGATGACGCGCGTTGCTTGACGCATGTCAATGCAGGCCAAAAACTGCTGCAAGAAGCTAGGTAGGTACCCGTGGCCCGCCCCACTTATCCCAGCATTGGGCGACCCATGCCCAGGCTAATTGGTGCTCTACAGCTCAACGCGCAGGTCAGCTCAATGCGCGATTTTTCATTACTTTTGCAATATACCACTAAAACCATAGCAAATTTAACTATTTAAAGCAGTAAAAAAGCTCTATAGAAATGGGTATATATTAGGAAGCTAATTAATTATATTAGAAGTTTTCTAGAATAAAGGTAGCTATTGCTATATATATCCCTAAGTATTATCTCCAACTGTTAACTACCTATTCAACTACTATACCCCCCTGTAGAACTATAATGAGCTATTCTAAATATAAAACAAAAGAAGAGCTGAAAGAATACATCCTCTAGGAAGCAATAAAATATCCTAAAGAAAACCTAGAAGTGAAGCTAGCTATTATTATATAGAATTATAGAGTTTATCAAGATAAGCTTTATTATTGCTTATAGGATATTAGACCTAAGGATACCTATTATAGCCTAATAATAAAGTTATTATTAGCTTAAGAAGTTGCTCTTTACTAGGATATTAACTAGCTTAAAGTAGTTAATCTTATAGTATACCTTTACTTTATTACTACTATAGCTAACTGTTATGAACAGACTTTACTAGCGGCCAGGCATGGTCACAGCCGCAGTGCGGGGAGCCGCGGCAGCCAATCGCTCGACTAACTAATTAGAGTGGATTACTAAGAAAAGAGAGTGAGCTAATATAAAGGATCACTGGGATTATGAAGTGAGCTAGGTGAGCCAGCACAAAGATCACTAGAATCAAGGAATGATCTTCGAAGACAATCATTAGTATATTAGATAGCTAGTTATTCCCTTGAAGGACCTGCCAGAAGTTCTCCAGTAAGCAATGCAAGCAGTTGTGTATACTACTGTGTGAACACTTGCTTGTGCCAATTGTTGTAGACCCTTTGGCTCTACCGAACCTCACCCCGTCTAAGTCAACCTTCAGTCTGAGGAGTCCCTTTCAGTGGTAGGGGACCGAGATTCGTCACATCTAGGGCAAAGAACTATATAATAGTACTGCGCTAGGCCCTATAAGCTAGGTAAATATAGTTAATTAGCTTCCTAATATGTATTCCCAACTCTAGAAGGCGTTATAACTATTCAATCCAGCTAGTTGTAGGTAGTTTTGGTCAATCGTAGCCAAAGATGTAGGAAAACTGCGCATTGAGCTGGCCTGCGCGTTGAGCTGTCGAGCACCAATTAGCCCGGGCATGGGTCCACCAATGCTGGGATAAGTGGGGCGGGGCACGGGTAGTTGTCGTGGCTCGGCTCGGCTTTTTTATGTGGGTCCACTGTCCCCTAACCTTAAGGTACCTAATTATGTCATCGACGGACTCGCGTCACTCAAGACCCCACGTTGTACGGTGGATTACAGTTCCGGGTTGGCCCAAAGTATTTCACCCGGCCATTGCACAACATTGTCCATGATATAAAACCGAGTAGTATACCTAGCTATAACTACTATGAGATGCCTAATGCAACGTCGGGAGATGGGAGGTATTCGACATTGGAGAACGGAACCGGAGAACGAGGGAAGACAAAGCTCCATTCCCGGTCCCGTCATGCCTCGGCTCCAGCCTTGAGTTCGGTAGGTTGCTCTGCCGGGCGGGGAGCTGCAGTGGGGCTCCATCATGATTCCAGCACCTGCCTGCCTCTGGGTCTTCGTAATGACCAAGCACCACCAGGTCCCGAGAGGCAAGAGAGATCTCCCTCCGTAGGGCCTTGGTGACACGACCCGGCACACCTTACACGTGTAGGTACCTGAGTCTGATGCATGACGATGCAGCAGTTGAGTCGCCATGGCAAATGCCGACACGGATCGAGCGATGACAGCTGCCGCTCATTTGTAAGTACGGATACTGAAGCATCAGACAGCACACCAGCAGCCTCCAATGCCGGCAAACGAAGCTGTGTCACAGCATTCCGGAAATTTCACCGACACAAGTGACGGAGGGAAGGGAATCTCTCGAAAGTGGAAACCCAGGTCCTCTCAAAGGGCTATAATATTGTAGTTCCCTCTGCCGATATTTCTACGTCTGCCGCCTCCTCGTCCTCGTCATCTTCGTCGAGATCGAGAATCGGATATGTCAAAATCGCCGCGATCCCGCCCAGCGCATCCAACCGCTGGCCGCTCTCGTGGTCGCTGCTAAGCAGCCGGGCCTCTCCGCCGTCCTCCTTGACCTTGTCCACAAGAGCAACATACTTTTTCCTCGTCGCCACGTCCATGCTTCTGAAGAGCGCATTATTGATCAGCAGAACCCCTCCTCCGCGGCCAACTGCGCCTTCAGCGATTGCCTTCTCGACAGGTTTTGTCCCGTACCACGCCCTCCCGTCGTCCATGCGCAAGCGGTCGTAGAATTGGTCCATTAGCATCGTCTCGGTTGTAAACCTCGTGTCGCGCATGGTCTTTTGCACTTCTGGGCTCTTGAGAACTTCGTTCAGGCTGTGGACGTGGCCGGTGCTGGAGTGTACCACGACCGCCTCCTTTGCGATGCGTTGCAGTGCCTTGTCAGCTGTCCTGGATGCCTCGGATTGCATGTAGGCACGGAAATCCTGGGCGACGAAGCCAGGGCTTGCAAGCAATAACGTCCGAGAGGTGCTGAAGTCGACAGCATTGCGCAGGGTTGACAACGTCTTCTCGTAAAAGGATGCCATTCCCCCCGCTGTGTCCTTTGATGATGCGCGCTTCTTCGGAATCGAGCTTTCGATGCGGTGCTTGACGATGGTTCGGATGTCGGTGATTAAGCAGATGTTGGCAAGGCCCTCCTGCATAACGACGGCAACCACCGCGTCGGGCCTGTCCTCGCTGAGCGCCTCTCGAAGTGTCTGCAGTGCCACCGAATCCCATCCGGCAATCTTCCACAATGTAAACTTGAGGTCTGTCTTTTCGTATCTTAGGGTGATGGTGTGATGTTGGCCGACGCTCACCCACTCGTTCTCGTTGACGACGGTGCCCGAGACCTTCAGCTCCGACGCTAGGGGGTCAAAGAAGGTCGACTTGACCTTGATGGACAGATTCGTGCGCACGCTCTTGACTGTCGCAGAACCTGTAGTCGTTGTCATGGTGACCTTGCGAAACGCAGGAGCGTTAACGACATCGCCCACGGCGATCAGATTGTTGGCATGCCACATGTCCTCTGGCTCCATGATGAGGAGCGAAACGCCGGCCTCCTCGTCGATGGCCTCAACGGTCTGCCTTTTCGATGCGAATCGCATATTGTGTATCTGTACAGGGTGAGAGGGGCCAGCACAGAATAGTCTCTTGCTGATGATGGAAGTGCAGCCGTCCCAAGCCCAGGATGCTCAAGCTTCAGAGGGTGACCGTCGCACAGGTGGTGGCGGGGTCGAACTGGCAATGGTGGGGCAGGGATTTCAGGTTGTGAGTGGACTCGATCGAGAGGCAGGAGCTGAATGCGGGGCAGATGATTGTCTAAGGCCCAGATTCCCCTCAGGCTGAGCAGTTGGATTCTCAGCAGTTGTGTAAAGGGCAGATTTGGATTCTTGAGGCTAGTTTACCTATTCCCTATATACGTGGATTTCCGGCACGCGCATGCTATATATATAGGCCAATATATAGGGGAGTTCTTTGAGTCGATGTGGACTTCCAGGTTGTTGCGGGCTCGCGGGGCACCCTACTGTCAAAAATACAGGACCTGCTTTGTCCTGTGTTTTCAAGTCATAGTGGCGCCACAGCTTTGTTCAACTCTCCTAGTGAGGAACGTAAGCGGGATGAACGGGTCTGCCTGCGCAACTTCATTTTGGCACCGACTCCGCCAAAATCAGCAATGTCCCTACGGCTGCGGATTTGGGGATTCGTGAAACGGGCGGTTTGCTCCCTCGCTCAGAGACCACCTAGGTACCTGGCTTACTATAACACTCTGACTCTAAACTCACCTTGTGAGAGATCAGGGGGCACAGCGTGGGATGCATCAAGTCACTATGAGCTTCGCCACTCTCAATTCTTACCTAACTCTCTGTTCAGGCTGCAGTGTAACTTACAGTACACTACAGAAACATTACACATTACACACATATCTCTACAGCATTACCTTAGGGCTGAGCCTTCAAACTGATCAACTCCTGGCAGTGGTTGCCAATCGGGTGGGCATTCCAAGCAGGTTCACTTCAACAACTCCCGTCTAACGTCCAGTCAGAAAGTTGCACCACCTGAAGATGGCTTCGGCAGGTGACGGAGATACGCAGTTGGCCGACATTCTGTCCTTCAGGTTTAGTGGACGAAGTGATTGGCTACTTCAGGTACACGTACCTACTGTCCATCCTTCCATGCATCCAACCGCAGATTTCAGATTCTCGGATGGCGGGGTTGACCACAGTGGGTTGACCCGGAGCACTTGCGGCTTCGCTGCAGCCTAACAAAATCTCCGATGAAACTTATCAAGCTCCAGTCAACCAAGTTCCAAGCCTCATCTCGTCAAGGTGAGGCGTTGTGCACATGCCGTCGGGACGGGATGCTAAGTGCGCGCCTTGCCGACGCTAGCGCCCACCAGGTCGACGGGAGTCACGACTAAGCCTGCTGCTGCCTTGCAAGCTTGATGGGCGATACCTTGTGTATCCGTACGTAAGACGTGCATGTACGGGAGGTTGGATCCAAACTCCACTGTGTCCGTCCCGGCGACCAGCAACACTACAAACGCCTAGAGCTTTCTTCGTCTCTTTTCGCATCGCTGTGCAGTTGTCCGTTGCCAATTTCATCCACCCGCCTCGCCCGGCCTCGGACACTCGCCTCACCGCCATTACTAAGGTAACCCCTTTTTCCACCATGGATAACTTGCTCGCCCTGGCAGGCACCTCATCGCTTTTGAACGGCGCATCGGGCACGACCATCCAGGACCTTGAGGAACGAATCCCCGGTTTCGCCATCTTGCAAAACTTCTTCAAGACATGGCTAAAGCTGGATCTCGCGTCTATCCTAACAGTTGCCGCCCTCATGGGTGCTGCCTCAAGTGGTGTCAGCAGCATCCGAGACACTGGGGCCAAAATCTACTGGTGGATAGTGCGCTTCCTCACGGCTTCCATTTCTATCGCGGGCAATGACCGCCTCAATCGAGAGGTCCTCAACTGGCTGGGTGCCCATATACTCACAAAGAGGAGAACGCGCATCCTCACAGCAAACTCGGAGAAAGTGCTGACCGACACTTGGCACTATCATCGTGTGTCCCAGGAACGTAACGACTACACCCACGACAGTAGAGCGCCAGTGCACTACCTGCCGACATTTGGCACAACCTGGTTCATCCACAAGCGCAATCTGTTCATGGTACGCCGCATCTTGACGAGCAGCTCCAACACTGGTTGGTCGTTTCGCACACCGGACGAGTATGCCGGCGCTCCTGAGGGCGACGAGCCGCTCGTGATCATGTGTCTCGGCCGGTCTGTGGAACCTATCAAAAAATTCCTCGAAACCTGCCGAGAGTTCGCCGACAAGCAGCGTGAGGCGTACGTCACAGTTCGAATCAGCAAGGGCTCATACAACGACTCGTGGGATACGTCGATTCTGCGTCCTATTAGGCCTCTAGAAACGGTGCACTTTGATGAGAAAGTCAAGGATGCGCTGGTTGCTGATATCGCCAACTACCTGGACGCCAACACGCGCAAGTTTTACAACAGGCGCGGTATCCCCTACCGGAGAGGGTTTCTGCTGTATGGGCCCCCAGGCACGGGCAAGACATCGCTCTCGCTCGCACTGGCCGGCAAATTCGGGCTTGAGCTATACTTGATCCACATCCCGAGCGTAGGAAATGACGATGCTCTAGAGAGACTCTTTACGGCCTTGCCGCCGAAGTGTATGGTGCTTCTCGAAGATATCGACGCAGTTGGCATTAAACGCCGTGCATCGTCGAACGATGACGACAGCAGCAACGACAGCGACGGTGATGGTTCGTCCTCTTCGGACGAAGATGAGTATGGAAGGTCGAGGGTTACGCTCTCCGGTCTGTTGAACGTTCTTGACGGTGTTGCATCGCAGGAAGGGCGCATCGTGCTCATGACGTCCAATTTCGCGGAGAAGCTGGACAAGGCCCTCGTTCGCCCCGGTCGAGTGGACAGGATGATATACTTGGGCCACATCTCGCCAAGGAGCAGCGAACTCATGTTTCTCCGCATGTATGCCGCCGACGCGGACAGTGCGGCTCCAGGAAGCCGGGACCTGCAGGTTTCAGAGGATGAACTAAAGAGGCTGGCCCTCGAATTCAGTAAAAAAATCCCTAATGAAGTCTTTACCCCAGCGCAACTTCAGGGGTACCTTCTAAATCACCGCGACTCGCCTGTTGAGGCCACTGCCAATGTGGAGCGATGGGTGCAAGAGGAGCAGCAGACGATTGAAGCGGCTAAGGAGAAGACGAGAAAGGCTGCCGAACAGAAAAAGAAGAGGAAGAGGGAAAGAAAGCTGGTTCGAGCGGCAGAGATGGCTGAGGCGATGCGGAATTACGTCTCAGACGACGAGCTCGAGACGTTGCGTCAAAAGGTCGAGGAGAAGTCCAAGCGGAAAGCCAAGAGGCCAAAGGACAGCGTAGACGGGGCGGAGGAAAAGGGTAACTCAGAGCCCCTGGACGAGCCGAAGAGCTCTGGCCACATGCCGAACGGGCTACCGAGCAGTCACGACTCAACTCTAAGTGGCCCTAATGAGGCTTCTAGTCCTGAGAAAAGCGCGACTGGTGGCACAAACGAAACAGCGGGACCCGGCGAGTCCAAGGAAACGAGCACTGAAGCGGAACCGGTTTCAGCTGAGACTGATACAAAGGTCCCGAGTCACGAATAGCATTCTTGGGGAACCCTGATAATGAGAACCGGAACAGGAGCAATATGAGAGAAGTTGATAGATAGGGGTGCTGCGTATATAAGCTTCATGCTTTGGCATTGGCTCAGGTTCCTACTTGGAAACCATACCCCCTTTTTCCTTTCACCATTGTTACCTGTCTAAGTGGACATGGCGTCAAGTCAACTTCGAGGAACCCTGGCATTCTCTCACAGCGATCAAAATAGAAGCCAAGAATTAAAAACGGGGCGATATGATGATATCTCAGTATTCGTGACCAGGTACTCTGAACCCAAAGGAGGAACCTACAGCTACGGTTGTTGATGACCTCACCTGCCCACAGTGCCCAGGGCATGATATAGACCAACCTGTGGTCTTAGCCATGAGTGTTCCTCTGCCTTATGGTAGACTAAGGGGATAATATAACAAAATGAGTACTTCCCATGATACTGTACCTTAAGGTAGGTATGTTTCTGTATGTTTGTGGTGATAGGGATTTGATTAAGAGTGTTGTATCCCTGTTACATACCACAGCTCGATAAGGTATCTTTACAAATGTGGTCCAAGTCCTCGAGACCTGTCGAGTAAGAAGCACATCCTGGCAGAATGAACTTCAAATTGCTCCATATTGGCCCAGATACTAGAGTGAGTCAGGCTGACTAGGTTCCTTAAGGTACCTTACGCAACTACAAATGGCCCAGGACTAGCAACGCCGGGAGAAGAAAGATTGCCAGTGAGGTCAGCAGAGCCAAATACCAGCAGTCAGCCTTTAAGGGAGGAGCGACACTCATGCAGTGAGAATGATCACCAGGTTGTCGACTCTTTGCACTGAGTGAGCTAGCTAGCTGCCTGTATTTGAAGTCATATTTCAGAAAGAACAGCTAGGTACGCGTAGTCCTCGCCCCTACAGGTAGGCTATCCTACCATCTCTCTTTTACTTATAGCCTACATCCTGCTTCTCTTATATGTATCGTGAACTTCCAGCATTCGGACCATGCGTGTATTCCCTGCGTTACGACGGGAAACACCAGATTTTAGAGGCTCTGCTCGGCTGTACCAGACTACCAGTCCCTCCAGTCCGGAGGATTCGGATGCGCCTCGACGCCAAATCAAGGGCAATCTTTACAATCTTCAGGACCACTGAACCTATAATCGAGGAGCTACAGCACATACCATGTATTCGTCGGATGCTGAAGAATTAGGATATTTCTCTACCGCTGGACTTCACGGCGATAGAGTTCTTATATGTACTTGTACCGCTCCCGGACGGTCGTCCCTGAAGAACTTGGACGCAGGGTGGCAGAAGAGTGGCAATTGGCGGAGCGTAGAGAAGAGAATGGGTAAGTCGGGAGAGAAAGAGAAGCTAGGGGACTGGAAAGGAGGCAGGAGAGAGGCGAGGGGGGACGGGACAAGCAAAATCTGTACATACCGCAACAAGGGCGTCCCAAGAGAGAGTGAGCGGTACATTACAGTGGGTTCTTGTATGGACAACATGTATTCTACGTGCGATCCAGCTTGTACCTCGGGGATTTTGGTACGGCGCAGCCAGAATAGGTCACTACCTACCTATTTCGCAGGGCAAGGTACAAACTACAAAGAATAGCTTCATGACTTCCATCCCTACGTACCAAGAGTGGAACCCTGAGCTCAAGAAAGACTCAAGAGTACCATACCTACGGATAGGTAAGTTCCATGTTGCGGGCCCAGCCTCCGCAGGATACTAACGCTATGATTTTGTCGTGGCCACCACCTCACAAGCACAAGCCTAAGGTAATTTGTGCGGAGCGCCCACTGGTCTGGTCTGTGATGAACTGCACAGGTCCAATCAGACTTGCGGCTCCTCATGATGGAAGGCGGGCCTCCAGCAGACGGTCAATTGGGGGCCGGTCCAATCAGATTTTGCGGCCGCTCTTCCGAAAAATGACGTGGACTTACTGATCCCTGCAGGGAGGCCGACCACTTTCGGGCATCCGGTCCTCGGTGCGTGTGATCTGACCTCAGATGCCATATAAATATTCCCTCACCTTCCCTCCTCCAATCCTTCCACAGCCACAAGCCGGATAGTCTCCCAATTCCCTCTGTTCGTCTCCCAAGTGACCATGCTCCGTCACTTCCGATTTCCCGCGCCGCAGATTGCCCCGTCCAAGGGATTCAGAAGCCCTCAGACAACTCTTACAGCGGATCCCTGAATTCACGCGGCCGTTCTTGTCAGTCGCATCGCACTCGGCGACATTCGTCACCCCTCCGGCTTCCATCGCCTGAAGCACCTAAGGCTTACTGGCAAACATCTCTAGTCACGCGTGCCGTCACGTGGCGGGGTCCGGTTGAACGTCGGCTAATACAAACCTCTGTCGAGACCTTATTCTCATTCAGACAGCAACCGCTGGCCGCTAACATGCCCGCGAACCATCGTCATGGTCGAACAAGGCTCCCATCAGACGACCATCACCGTGCCGGCATCACCCGGCGTGCAGAATCCATCTGCAAGCCAACGGTAATAGACTCGCCATGATGACTCTTTTCGGAATTCCCAATTCCTCAACCCCAGTTCCCCGCATTGTCACAGTTCTCGACGTGGTCGAATCAGAATGTCACCAGGCCGAGCTTATTGAGCCTTGTCACCGAAGTCTCGCATAAGGGTGGTTGCATTTGAGCGATTTTCAAGCTCGGTGAGTGAGATTTGACACGTCACACCGGATGCAGCATGCAACAAGATTTTCACAAGCTGACAACTCCCTTCCAGTGTCCCTTGATTGCAATACGATGATACTCGCACCGTGAGAGTTTTCCTTCGTGCTCAAGGAGGAGGGCATGATGTTCAACTCAAGCTTCTATTCGGCGACTTGACGGCGTCTAGAGCGGTCTATGCATGTAGACGGCCACTCCAAGCACCCCGACCTCACAGTGACTTCGTGAATCGGGCATTACAACACCCGAGCCAAGACGCCCGCGGATGCGGGTGAAAATTCCCCTGCATCGATGGGCTGGAGACCCAGAGCATCATCAAACCCTGTCCGGAGGTCCGCGGTCAACGTTGCCTTGCCGGATGAGGATAAAACTCGTGCCGGCTGACTGTGATTGGCGCAAACGAGCTGAAACTTCACACATGAGGTTGGCCGCTTGGAGAGATCTTGAGCATGGGTGATCTGTAAGGCAGAGAAGCGGCCCTGCCTGGTCCCAAGGGGGGTTTCCGAACTGGAATTGATTGAACCTTGAAAATCGGCGGGGCCTTAGGAAGCAGAGGTCAACACTGGAAGTACCCGGCGGCCCTCGACCGATCGACCTCGGAGTGCTAGACACACGCCATGCATAATGCCGGTCAAGTCCGGGACTCGAATCGATACATCTCGACTACCATTGGCAATTTCGCTGACCTCGAAGGAGGGGCGTGGGCGCATCGTTGGCGACTCGGCCGGCGGGCTCCAGTTGACAGGGAAGTCGAAGGCAAAACGGAGAAACAGATGCTTTCTGTCCTGTCCGTATCTTCTCCTCTAGTTGGGATTCATAATTAAGCGTCTTGAAAGGCAGTTTCGCACTCGAAATCTCATTCCTGAGGATCTGTGTCTTCTGGACTACGTCCATCTTATTGGTGTTAAACTCAAAAATCAGTAGAACCCGGCAGAGTTCAGCCTTCGATGTCTTATCCAGGCTCGTCGAGTCAGCAGCCTGACTCAGGGTACCGCATCCGCTAATAACCCGCACGATTGCCGTCGAATGCTAACGACACTCTCCATGGCTTATAGATTGATGAGAGAAGCTTCCTCAGCGTCCTCAAACTCTCTCTCAACTCGCCCCCTGAACCCCCGATTCCTGGCCGGACGCCGCGTTTCAAGATACCTGACAGAGCCCTCGACATCCGGCAATACCCTCGTCGACCTCTCGAACGGTACGACAAACGTTGCTACCGCCACGGCAGGTCACGAGAAGCGGATCGCAGAGGAACTTGCCAAGCTGAATGCGAAGCTCCCTTGACGGAATCGGTTTTATCTCAGCCCTCCATGAGGCCCTCTTTTCTTCTATTAGATCAGGGGTTATGAGGACTGGGATAACACAGCTTACTGGAGCTGAGATATCGACAAGTGAGGGTTGCGGCCATGTCGACAATGACTGTCCCCGGCACTTTCATCGGGGCATCCATTCTCTCTTACTTCAGCAGGGTTAGTTGGAATACAAATACTAGGCCAACAACAATGCCCTATCACTCCTTAGTTCGTCACCCTTGTGGAACCTTTTCTTCCGTTTAGCACTTGGTGCTGTGCTGTGACAATTCCGCCATTTGTCTCCCCTCTGTTGGTGGATCGAACCCTCGCCTGGACTCGCACTTCATCAAGCTCTTCAACTTCTCTTGAACCTCCACTCCCCAAGGCCCACACGTCTTCAACTTTCCCCCCCGCCCCAGACGGTTGCTTCGGGTCGATATCAGATGCTCAAGCGGGCAGCGGCTTCGTGGCGCCAGCCGAGGCTTTCTCTGTGAAAGCATCAATCAGGCTTGGCAACCGCTTCCCTTGAGCACAGATGAGTGAATCGAACATGGACGTGCATGTCCCCTAGCACGTGCTCCCTAACAGACTCGGAGGCACATCGAGAGCATTTGCATTATTCACCTATCCTAGGACCGATACTAGCTCCATCCACTCCCTTACTGCACCGGAACCATCAAACGGTCGATATCCGGACCCCACCCAGACCCAAGCCCCTCAATCACAATCGAATTCGTCGACCCCTTTCTGAGGTTGGCATGGAGCGTGCTGCTCGCGGGGTTCCCCTTAGCCGGCAAGAAGGCAACTTTCTGCCCAGCATCCCCATTGATTCTCACATTCGCATAGCGCGGGCTGCTGTCTCCGTTGAGGTACTTGATGCGGATGGTAGTCAGACCGTCAATGTCGCTGCGGATGCCGCTGAAGGTGACGCTGCCCTTGTCCGGACCCCCGATGTATCCCGCGGCTACCTTGTTGGAACACTCGGAGCAGCTGATATCCCGCGCCTTGCCACCGTAGGTTGCTCTCTCGGCCTCGTAGCTGGTTTCGGCCGGCGGCTGCTGCCATGCGGCAAAGTTCGAGGTCGGAACCCAGCTCACGAAGTTCTTCATGGTGACGCTCGTCCCGCTGATGCTCAATGGCAGCCATACATAGGTGCTGGCCATCAGGTTGTCTTTGACCCACCTGTCTCCCATGTAGATGGCGGTGCTCTCGCTGGTTTTGAGGATGAATGTGGTTTGGGAGTTGTAAGTCTGCGTTTGGAGTCGATGTTAGTAGTTCTTCTTGGGTTGAAGGGCTGCCTCGGCATAATTTGTGCCCCTGACAGTGCTGGCAGCACAGCTCACCTTTGACCCGCTGTCTGCAAACTTCTTCCATGCCGACCAGCCCGATCTGAGATTGGTTGAGGTCGTGTACTGGTTCTCATTGGCGTCCCATCCCGTCATCATGGAGGCAAACATGAAGTACGTTTTGCCCAACTTGACCATAGCGGGTGCCTCGACACGGTTGCCGCCCTCCAACCTCCAAGAGAAGACGTCGGTTGTGGGAGATGTGAAATCATCCGACAGAGCAACGATACGAAGGCCGTAATCACGCTGCTAGGTTTCAGTACCCGTGCACCCAGTACCGGTATGAGTGAGAAGGAAAACAAACATCTTCGGTCAACAGATACCCTTTGCCATCGTCGTCCTTGAACAGGCCCATATCGCGACTTTCCCTCCCCAACCTGCAGTAACCGCTTTAACCCCTGACATGAGGCACGGTGGATCTCAGGGGCTTACATACGGCTGAAAGCTCCGGAGATACTGGTACCTCCCGCATATGGAATCACCCGTTGCCACGGCAACCCTGGCCTCGCCGTAGTTGCTGCTGTCCATGTGCATCCACAGCACATACTTGCGGGTTTTGTCATTGTAGATGACCTTGGGCCTCTCCACCACGCGATTGGGCCCGAGATCGCCGGAGCTGGTCCGGGACAGAAGTGCGCCCACCAGCGTCCATTGCACGAGGTCGGTCGAGGCGTAGCAGTTGACGTTGGAGAAGGAGTGCCCGCCGCTCTTGTCCTCGCCAATCATGTAGTAGGTGCCATTCTCCTGATAGACTCCCGCGCCGTGGGCTTGTAAGTGTTCGCCGTTCGACTGGACAGTACCAAGACGTCTAGGTGGTTAGATGGTCCTTTCGCACAGCCAAATTGGATAATAGCAGACGGGACACGCGTACACTTGTCCAGGTACCTCCCGGAACAACTTGCAGGCTCGCGATTACGAGGCGAGAGAATATCGCCGGTAGTGCAAGTGACAGGAGCCTCATCTTCAGTATCGAGAGCAGCCCTTATGCTAAAGTCAACACTGATGGGCGGGTTAGGAAAACTTTTTTCATGACGTCGGCATGAGCAGAGCCGGTATATGGCCCCTTTATAGAAAAATATTGCTGCAGCATCTGCGGGGATGCAATTTATTCGGATCTTGGTAGACGGTTGCAATGCCCGGGCCCTGGAGCATTATATCGGTTCATTATAAAGTGCTACTGTAGTTGGAGCACCCAAATCCCTACAAGATCCACCGCACCCGATCACCCGGCTGAGGTTGCAACTTGCAAGCCGGGACTCGATTATCGCACCAATGCTCTGTCGGTGTTCGGTGTGAGGTCTGTACAGTGCATCCAGGTTACATGTATGTACATAGTCCAGTGGGACTGAGGTCGGTTGTAACCGAAATATCACGGCCTCACTGCGACTCAGGGGCTCGAGGCAGGGTGGCCTGTGAACTACCGGGTTTCCTTCTCGGGCCCCATCTTAACCGAAGCATCCCATCATCTCGGGCTTTTATGCTCCACTGTCGTAGGGGATGATTGCAGGGGCTTTTATCCGGTGCGGTGTTTAAGTCACCGCTCCCCATAACCCCATAACCCTGCTATACTGTGTAGATCCTCTGTTTAACTCATTCAAGAGTCATGATATTTCCTAAGGTTCGGTCCAAAGAGCAAGAATCAGCAATGCGAATAAGACAACCTGCCTAATAAGAGATACGAATTGAGACAGAGGGACACAACAGCTCCAACGCTGGCTGGAGTTAATGATGCCTAATTCACCAAGTAGGGCATGCAAGGCTTCAGCAGGAGTACCTAAGGTACCTTACACTGGCATCACTAGAGCTTCGTTCATGTTGCAGCAGAGCCTGAGACATCTGCGGGATGATGAAGAGCTCGCGGAGTGATTACTGCAGTGATCTATATGTTCGCAGGACAACAAGTCACGGACTCATGGGACGTAAGAGAAGGTACCTTAGTTATTCTCGAGTATAGAGTACCTAGCTACTAGTATGTACATCACTTGAGGTAGGTAGGTTGATGATGGGAATAGCACTTCTAGCAATCTGGTAACTTGGCACGTATGTGTTACCTACCTACTAGTAGTAGGTACCTACCTTATACGGAATGATGCACGATTTGACCTCCAATGAAGCAGTGGCTCCAGTTTCTTGGCATCTTTTCCGAACTAGGCCGGTGTGACTCCTACATGCGGGTGCGGGGCGCAATCCGTGCTCTCAACTTCAGCTTCAACGTCGGCCCAGCCTGACGACACGGCAATATAAGGTATATCTTCTGACCGAGCATCGACGAGCCCCTCGACTCCAGTAGCGCCCTCGAGAGACCGATAACTACAAACCCAATCAACCCCGAGATACTAGTACCTTACACTACAATCCAAATGGCCGACCTCGAACTCACACCTACCGAACAAGTTCCAACCGACCTCAAATCCCGGCTCAAAGCCTCATACGACGCCATCGCGCCCACCTACAACACCTGGACGGAGTCACACGGCCCGCTACGGCTACGCTATCTCAACCGCGTCCTGTCACTGCTCCAACCCCGGCATGATGCCAGCGGTGCGCCGTCTACACGGAGGATATCCGCCCTAGAACTGGGCTGCGGCGCCGGCCTGCCTGTCACCAAAACACTGCTGTCCCTCCCAGACACTATCGACGTGCACGTCACGGCCAACGACCTGTCATCGACCCAGATCGCGCTCGGCAAGGCCCGGCTCGGCGACGACCCCCGCCGCATCACCTGGGTCGAGGGCGACATGATGGACCTTTCTTTCCCTCCAGACTCGCTCGACCTGGTTGTGGCGCTGTACAGCGTTATTCACCTCCCGCGGGAGGAGCAAGCTGTGCTGTTGGAAAGGGTTGCGGGGTGGTTGCGGCCGGGGGGGTTGGTGCTGGTGAATTTTGGCAGGGAGGAGATGGACGGGGCTGTCATGGAGCGCTGGCTTGGGGAGGAGAAGGGGTGGATGTATTGGAGTGGGTTTGGGGAGGCGAAGACGTTGGAGGTGGTGAGGGAAAGGGCGGGGTTGGAGGTGTTGGTGTCGGAGGTTACGAGTGATGATGGGGGGACGGATGCAGAGTTTTTGTGGGTTATTGCGAGGAAGAAGGGAGAGGGAGAATCACTGCCAGGGGTGTGAGGAGGGCTGGGGCTTTGGGTGGTGATGTGCTTCTTCTCCACTTCCAGTGACGCGCCGAAACCGTTTATATCAAACAGACCACAACTTTCAAATCTATCTCCTGTGAAGATGGCCCTATGCTCATACAAGTACAGGCTGTACTTCAACCCATGACCGTGATAGCTTGTAGTCCCCAGCTGTCAACTTTGACAGGTCAGTCCCGCAGCACAGGCACGATGTCAGACATGTATGACTCGGAATTACTCTGGCGTCAGATGGAACACGCCGAGCTGCGGCCAGTACTTTGTTACATCCAACTCAATGTCCATTTTGAACTTCCACCTATGCCAGGGCATGGGCGGGGGAACATTTTGAAGTTCCCAGGCGACGGCATTTTCTGGCATCTCTCCAAAGCCGTGGGTGTCGAATAACCAGAACCCAAACACATGTTGAGCGTTCTTAGACCGTTCCAAGCCCTCGGCATCAGGGTTATTTACCTCCCTGAATACACCATCAGTGAATTCCCGGTCCCAACGCTTCTGTTCGGTCTTGAGATATTCATTTGCCTTTGAGCATGACGTGATTGCAGGAGCAGAGCGCCAAGTGGGCCAAGTGATGAGGAACCTTGAATCCAGTCTCTTCCCTTCGGGCCGGGCGATGTCGAATATCCTTTCCATGTCCTGCCAAAACCAGAGACTGGCCCGGGAGTCCCAGCCAACGCAAAAGAGACCTAAGTCATCTCTGATGGGACGTGGGTCAGGCCCGATGAGAGTAAAACCTTCGACTAGCAATTCTAGCGGAGTTGCCCGGTTGAATCGTATGCGATCCGTGAGTTCCGTGACCATCATACGCTCCCTTCCTCGGTGGTATAAATATAGTGTCTTCAGATTTGTAAGGGTTGATCGGAAGGCCTCTAATGCCTGTGGTGCGAGGGCTTGAGGTTCTACTAGTAATCGAGGTTAGTAGGCGCTTCATTTGGTAACAAAGGGGGCGAGATATGTTACGGTCGTACCGCTGGGTAGCCACCTGAGTCTATAAGGAAGACCGTCGCCCAACCATCAAGTTGCGGATCCCATGGCCCTTCGGGTCATAAGCTTTGCAGTCGTAGAAGACATCCGCCAAAAGATCTGGCGGAGCCAATGGTACTTCTGTATGTTCATGTTCTCCGGTGACAAGGATCTGGACGTGAAGAAAGTCGAAATCGGGGTTGAAGTAGAGGATGCGACTAGTCACAGCGTCTAGTCCCTGGCTGCAAGGGAGATGTACGCGGTAGAATGCCAAGGCGGCTGCCCTAGCCTCGGAGCTGACGCGGAGCAAGGGGCTATCCGAGTGGTATTTGTCGATTGACAAGGAGTAATTCTTGCCGCTTCTGATATTGCCGAGGTGGTTCTTCTGGGTGTAGGAACCGGCGGGATCGGGCCTGTCGCTGGACCGAACGCCGATGTGGAGAATGCGGTGCTCTTGAAGAAACGTGTCCCAGATGTCCCGTCGAAGCTCGAGCGGAAGGCGAGAAAACAGTTGAAACTTCCGGTCGCTGGCAACGGTGGAAGTAACCGTTGAAAAGCCTGGGATATCCAGCTTTCTCCATGTTGGACGCCATATCGGCTTATTGGCAGCAACTTGGGCAAACGAGTGGAATCGACGTTGTTAGTTTGGTGTGATCTGTGGAGTGAGAAACATTTGTTTTGGAGAAAAATGCCGTCCTAGGTACCTTAGGTAGGTAGGTAAGGTAAGGCAGGCTGCCTGCACGTGGTTCTGCCTTAAGTTGAGCCTATACTCGTACGGTGCATGGGAATAACGTGATACATAGGTAGGTAAGGTACCCTTCTGGGCCTTAGGTATAAGTCACCAGTTGCAACTCTGGTTGCAAGCCTCGACTCGGAGTAGGTCTAAAACAAGTACCTAGGCTTCCTCACCCAGAGCAGGGGTACTGCCCAGCCAACACAACGTGGACTCTTGATGTTGGTTCCAGTCGGTATGTTGGTCCCTGGATGGGACGCTGAATGGGAATGTGTTGGACAGTTGGGCGGGCTACCTGCATGTGGACGGGAAGTCACAATTTCAGCTTCCGCTTCATTCAGCTACAGGAGGCCCATCGACCTCGAGACCAGCGGGAATTTTAGGTCTACTACTCACTGCTGGCCGGCGGGTAGAGCCTAGCATATACTGGATTCAGGTCGTTGGTGATATGAGGAATACCGCGATGGACGCTTCAAGATGTTTCTTGCCATGTACTAGTAGTATGCAACGGGAATAATGAAGGCGCCGGTCGTCTTCATATTGGGGGCAGTGTGTTTCAACTTCCAGTCACCTACCTATCTACTAGATGTAGTACAGGAGCTTTCATAGGCGCAATCGAGACTGCTGCATAGTCCCTTACCTACCAACCCACTCAAGTTCCATACATAGGTACCTACCACCTAAGGTACCTAGGTAGGTACCTACTGAGAGACTACCTAGGTAGGTAGCCTAGCAGTTAGGTACTTTCATTAACTAAAGGAACAGAACCAATGGTAAGATGCCTTGGTCTATTACAGCATACACCTCAACATCCATACAAGATAATAGGAGGCACGCATTACAGTTTATACTGCTAACGCGTTGTTTGCGCAGCACTCAGAGAGAAACGTTAAACGTCCTTAGTTACCTCACAATTGCACCGGCAGGCAATAGGCCTCCATGTTTGGTCTCCCATCAAATGAGTCATTTGCTTCAACCGTTCATGGAACCATGGATTGAGATTTCAGTTTGAGAGACAGCATCGGATTCGGGAGTGAGTGAGAATGCAAATCTGTTGCAATAGGAAAAGGGGTGCGGCGCCGCTTGGCAAGGTGCACGGTGCGCTGAAGCCTAAGGTAACTTGCCTCGAGCTTGCCTAACTTCAGCCGCTGTGGTTGCCAGGGAAACCGTTGACAATTCCGCCGTCTTCATAGGCATCAAGCCGCTAGCCAGGCGCTATCAAGGCAACAACTCCACCATTGCCCGGCAAAAAGTCCATACCACTTGCCAATGTGGAGAGTTCGCGTTGCCCGGCCTTGGGAAGAATTGAAGAAAGCGCATAGAAATTGGCAGCCGCTCCCGGGTCAGATCATCAATTCACTCACCCCCTCTCATCAAGCGTCTCAGGCGAATCGAGTCAATTGCACCCGTTCCCTCACAAGCACAAGACCCACAACCAATATGCCGCCGAAAATACATGACTATCCCGGCATCAACCTGCCGTTGCGCTATCTTCACGAACTTGAACCGGATGGCCGATCAGCCCAGCTTGGGCGCGATTTCTATAGGGTCGGTTCGATCGAGGGCCTGAGAGGTGTCGAATCGGACATTCTGCAAGTCCGCGAGGTGGCTATGTTGATAGTCATGGACGTCCTTACAGACAAGGCCAACTGGCACGAGAAGGTCTTTGACGACAGCATCGTTGCCAAGTGGCGCCGGGAAGCACTTTCGCAGGACGAGAAGCCCATATATAACCTGATTGTGGGCGAAAAAAAAGTCAAGATGCCGCAGCGGACGAGGATCATGTCCGAACGTGCCTTTGACTACGTCAGTCGACCATAATCCAATTCCCCATTCGTTGTCGTTGATTGCACTTTCCCTGAACTGACACGCCATTTGCTGCTATAGTGCATCGCCGAGTTGAGATGCAAGGCTACTGAATTCAAGAAAACGGGTCTGATCTTCACTCTCAATGTGGGACAGAACACCGCCATCAAGTCCGACTCGGCCGTGGGCGACGAGCTCCGCTTGGGTCTGAGGGCGGCCTTCGACAAACTGCGGACCGAGCAGGGCGACGCACCAGACTGGCACCCTAGAAGCAACGACATGGTCCAAGATCTGGTCCACCCCTCCATGTACCCATTTGTCTACGGTGAGTGGTCTTGTCAAGGGTTCATGGCGTCCTAGCCCTAACATATAGTAGGCAAGTCCCCATTCTTCCAGGAGGAAGTCGTCGGTGTGAGAGACGCTGTTGATAAATGGTCCGGCAAGGGTGAAAATGTACAGGAAGCAAGGGATCATATGGCGGAGTGTGACAATACGGGGGGTAGAGTCCCCATCGGGGTTATACCACCGATCAACAGCGACTACTGGTCTTCAACTTACCAATGGCTCCCTGCCAACCTAGCCTTCCAAGAGGACGGTACCGTGAGGTTCACGAGCTACATCAACAACCTGCAACCGAAACGACATCAAGGAATCTACAGGCTGGTCGAAAAACTAATAGACAAGGCCATCCCAGCATGGGAACGAGTCCTCGCCGGAAAAGCGGTCACTGACGCCAATCGCATCCAGAAGCGGTTCAGCCCGCCTCCCGAGGTCTACGAGTAAGTGCTACTCACTATGGCTCCAAGCCTGGGTCCACCGTCCCCCATACGTGTGACAGATGTACTGATCAAGTTGAAATCCAGGGAGGACGAGGACTCTCCAGAAATATGGGAGCCCTTCAATCCCGAGGTCCTTGAAGCATACGAAAAAGAGCACGGCGAGATCGATGTCTCGGACGATTGGAAGGTGCAGGAGTGGCAAGAATATGTCGACCAAGATGAGCCGACCGGATTGAGCGACGAAGAAAAGAAGCAATGGTGGGAAGAACAGAGATCTCGGGTAGTCGGCAAAGTTAAATGGGCCAAGATCAGAGACCCCATGCTTCCCGAACCTCTGGGATTTGTGCCAGTTACTTATCGCGTCAAAAAGACGCTGCGCGAAAAGTTCAAAGATGATGGGCTTCAAGTCATTGTCAAGATGGCATCCATCGAGCTCACACCCGAGAAGCCAGAATTTCCAGTCGGCGGATGGCATGTACGTAACTGCCCAATTCCGACTCGGTGTCATCCCATCAGCTTGCTAACTGCTTCTAGATCGAAGGCCAGCTGAACGAGCACATTGTCGCTACCGCGCTGTACTATCTCGACTCTGAAAACGTGACGCCCAGCTACTTGGAGTTTCGAATGTTAACGTCCCAGTATCAGGAGGACCTCCAGGAGCGTGTCGGCCAGGATATGTATCATTTCTACGAACACATTTTCGGCACCCGTCTATCGTTCCACGGCCATTGCCTCCAGAATTATGGCAGAGTGGAAACGCCCGAGGGGCGGCTGCTCGCATTTCCCAACGTTTTGTGAGTGTGGCTCTGACTGTGTACAATGGATACATGCCGTGTCATGCTAAAGTAGCGACGACTAACCAGAGCCTCTCGTGTAGCCAACACCGTGTGTCCTCATTCAGGTTGCAGGACCCCACGAAGCCTGGCCACCGCCGCTTCATCGCGCTGTGGCTTGTCGACCCGCACCAACGGATCATCTCAACGGGGAACGTCCCACCGCAACAGCTGGATTGGTGGGCCGAAGCCGTGTTTGGCACGGATTTGCGCGCCAATAAAGGAGATATGCCTCCTGAACTGTTCCAACTCCTCCTCGAGCAGGGTGTCGCCAAATCGGTGAATCCGCCGCCAGAATTGCTGAGCAAGATGAGCAGCCGGCTGCCGACCGAGCTCTTGGACATGGTGCGGCGCGAGCAGGTGTTACCGGACGGGATCATGACGCCCGATGAGGCCCGGGCTCATCGTCTCAAGCTGATGGATGAACGCAGTGCTTTCCAAGTCAAAAGCGAACGAGAATGGAATATGGGCAACTACTCTTTCTGTGAACACTGAGGTGGGTTGCTTCCGGGGGCAAGGCCAACACTTGCCTCGATCTCAAGGGTTTATTTTGTCCGTCAAGCTGGTTGAACCTGCTCAGTCAAGGCTATCTGCAACAGGGACTTGCTAGCTAAGCCGCTTAATCGGTCAAGTGCGTCGGACTTTCCTGGATCTACAGGATCTATCACAATATAACCAGAATGGCGTGTTTCCTCCTTCCCATCCCAAAGTCTGCGGCTTCTGACGCACCAAAACCCAACCATCCGTGTGACAGAAACTGAATGAACGAGATCAAGCCACCTCAACCTCAATGATACTCTCCACCGACTCAACAGGGCGCCAAATCTTGACCAGCCTCATGCCCGCGCTGGCAATCAGCTCGCGCCACTGATCTTCCGAGCGCTCGGCGGCCGCCAGGCAGGCCATCATGGTGATGTCCGAGACAGTGACTCGCGACAGGGGCCGCTCGCTGCTGACGAGCGACTCGTGGATCAGCAGCCGCGAGTAGCCCGGCTCCATGGCGGGCGCCAGCGTGCGCAGGATCTTCTGGGCTGTTGCGTCGGGCCAGTCATGCAGCACGTTGTGCATGAAGTACACGCGCGCGCCGTGCTGAGCGGGGGGTTGCGGGGTGAAGAAATCGTGCGGTTGTACCGTGATGGCGGCGGTTGACTCGAGATCGGCTTCGGCCGACTTGAGGATGTCCGGGAGGTCCTCGAGTACTAGGCTCCCCGCTGGCAGGTCTGGGTGGCGTGCGAGGAATTTCCTCAGGTCGTGCCCTTTCCCGCCGCCGATGTCGACTACGAGCGGGGGGCGGGTGGAACCGTCGGCATTGCCTGAGTGACGCTCCCCGGCCGCGGCGAGGATGGTCTCGGTCGGGTAAATGTCGACCCAGGGGGTCAGGTTGTACTTGGAGTGGCACTCCATGGCGTCGTTGAAGTCGGACGTCAGCAGCGGGTTGGTGCCGACGTACTGGAACATGTTGGCCCCCTGGCCGCGCCAGAACTGGAAGTTGCAGTCGTTGACGTCGGTCGGGTTGCGGAAACCAGTTGACTTGAGGTAGTAGGGAAGCGTGCGGAACATGGGGTTGTTGAGCTCGTGGTAGAACCCGCCGTACATGCCCGCGAACGACCCGTCCTCGGCCAGCGCTCGCGCCCACGCCGTTCGTGCGTACGTGTCTGGCCCGACCTCGGTCACGAGGTGCTGCCCTGCGATGGCACGCATCATGCGTCCTATGCAGAAAGTCAGTATTCTCCATGAACGACGGTTCGAGGTTTATGGGACTTACTGATGAGCAGCTCATCAGCGCCCGTGAGCTCGGCAAGCTTGGTGCAGGTGATGGGCTCGCCGCCGGCTTCGGCCCATTTTGTAAAGACGCCTGCGTCGATGAGGGTTTTGATGGCGGCGTTGATGGCGCCGGTGACCCAGTTGTGGTCCCAGGCAATGTCCCATGGCGACTGGATCCTCCTGAGCGCCTCGAACACGGCATCTCGGGCTCGAACCCGCTCGGCCTCGCTGGCGAACGACTTGGCGTCGACGCCCTGCAGGCTGGCGATCAACTGATCTGCAGTCGCCATATTCTAGGGTTGGTCTTGTGTCTGTGCTTATTGGCAGGAGTCCCTGTGGCTGGAGTATGGCGTATGAGGGAGTATGTACATACAGTACATACCAGAAGCCAACAAGGTTCTTGACTTCTTGCCCATGCTGGCTCACCCAGCATCATATCTGAGCCATCACAGTGGCTCCAGTCACAAACCTCTCCATTCTGTGGCGGGCCTCGGTCGTAGAAACCCCGCCGAACGGAGAACGACCGAGTGCTGCCCAAACGCCTCTATGTCTTTCTTGGGACTAGTCGACATTGACTAGCCCCTGTGGACTTGCGTGGAGAGCGGGGCGGCTCATCCCTAGTTACCGACAGCTTTGATCAAGCGGTTCCGGCTCTCCGAGTGGTATCTTGCCAAATCGTGGCATACAAAATCGCATATTGCTTAACTAGCTGCGTTTGAGGTCTGGTCTCAAGCATCGAAGCTCCGCAATCGAGCATGTTTCATTGTTTCTCGACCATGAGAATTGCCGAAGGAACGCGCAGAAAGCAACTTGGGGGCCTTTGGTTCCAAGCCCCTGGATATTTGTTTTTCCATAATGTTAAGTCTCCACCCCAAGGTAACCCTGCCTGGATGCATCCACACACTAATTCGCTCGGCAGCGCGGGCATGCCACGGGAGTACGCGTCTTGACAGGATAGCGTCCAGCTTTGTGGTTCGTTTCAGTCAAATTCTCACGCAAAGAATCGCTCATAATGCTACAATTACAGATATCTTAAGAATCATCCCTGACCCAGGCGCGCAACAATACTGCCGGACACATCGTACGATGCTCCCACCCTAAGGTATTCATACCTTAGTGCCTGCCAGTGGAGACGCCGAGGAGCAACGTCGTCTCGAGTCTCACCGCCTCTCCTCCTTCAGGGTCTCGGAAGACACCGACACCTCCATTGTCTTGTGGATGCCGCCCATGCCGTCCGGTTCCGCGCCTCCACCTCGCGAGGATGTGTTGCCAGTGGAGACGAGGGGGATGGCGTCGAAGCTGGGGCGCAGGTGCAGGCTCGACGCCTCAACGTCCGAGTCGAGCTTGTGGCCCCTGACCTTGTCCCAGTTCCGACTCCCGCCGTGCGACGCGCCCTGCCCGTTGCCGTACTGTCCGCTTCCCGTCATCATCTGTTCGGTGCCCCGGCTGCCGTCCGTGACCTGGCCCCGAATCGCGCGGTACAGTGGCCCTAAAGTCGGGAGAGACGCGCATACCATCAGAATGCACCCCTCGGCTACACCGAGGATGTCCAAGTATGGCACCGGGTCTGATAAGAATCCGGTTAGCATTGATTTCGACCGAATTTATGCTGTGAATGGCGTGGACAGTAAGACTTACATGTGGGATCGACGGCCAAGATCTCGAACACCTGGCCGAAAATGGCGAGCTTGTAAATTGAGACAACACATGCCAGCACGCTGAGCCCCAGGGCTGTTGCAACAGCGATGCGCGTCTTGAGCGGCATGTTGAGCCGCATAATGAACGGGATGGGGTATAAAGCGAAAAAGACATCAAGAAAGGCCGAGTATGCCGAGGTGAAGTAGCCTAAGTTCGCCAGAATGCTGACCGGCGCACAGCTTCCCGGGAGTGTCAAGTCCCAGCCACGCTCAACGGGGTCGCACTGCTTGAACCACCAGACAGACGTGGCGAGGATGCACGCCTGGGATGACAGGGCGAGAAACCAGAAGACTATCGTGGTCTTGATGCCGGGGGTGAGAATGCGCTGGAGGGTCGAGATGATGGCGAATTTTGGTAGGGAGAAGGTCCAGATCAGCACGGCGCTGATGATGACATTGTACTTGAGCGCCGTCGTGACGTCTTCGGGGGGTATCGTCTCGAAATGCTTCCCGAGCCCGTAGTGCGAGCCTATCGTGACGAGAATGCATGTTGCCAGGAAGACTACAAGACAGGCAAGCGTGATGTAGTCGTCCAAACCTAACCCCCCGACATTGGACCGGACATAGTATGCTCTGCAGAAGACTCGGAGGGAAACGATGACTGATGGCCAGCCTTACTGTCAGCCTCGAGTATGTCAAGTCAAGTATTCACTCCATCTGCTCCGAGGGAACTGAACGTACCTGTTGTCACGGCGAACATGGCCCAGCATGCCCGGTCGGCAAGCGCGCCATAATTCTCCTCCTCCCACAAGGCCATCGCTCAGGCTATCGATCTAGATCGGCGTCGTCGTCGTCAACCCGTGACAACAGTGATGGCGACGTCGAGGCATTGAGCCAGAGGCAATCGTGAGTTTCATAACAGTTGACGGGCGGAACAGGGAAGAAGCCAGCAGCGAGCAGTTCGTCCAGGAGAAGAAGAAGAAGATTTCAAAACGGCCTAACTGCCGACCCTCTCTCTCGCGGCTCCCGGAAGGGGTCTCAACTCTCAAGGGCCAGGGCCCGAACTTTTTCATGTTGGTGTGGACACTCCCGGATGCGCCCCGACCATTCACGATGCTGGGCTAACACGGGTCTGGAACGGCCTGCTTGGCAGCGTGCTCCGGCTCGAATTGCCTCTCAGGTTGTTAATATCCACTAAACGTTCTGATCGGCAGGCGTGGGCACGCTTGTGTGTTAGCCTCGTTGCTAGTGGAGTGAAGCTGCGCGGCGATGTGGATACCCGATTCGTTCGGTCTTGGTACGTAGCCCCTGGCGGACCCATGTTGTGTAGCTGAGAGATTCCCGAGTGGAGGGCAGCGTCGCCGACTCGCCGGCCGCCAGCCAGAAGTCAAGTCACGTTTCCGTTGTGAATGTGACATCGAGCGCATCACCAGACGGTGTCTGTGGATGTATACTCTCGATACTCGAGAGGGGTCTTCGTGGTGGTGCATCCAGGTCACCGTCATCAATCACCCGTCTTTTCTGCGCGGCCCTTCCCGAACGTTGGCCGAGAAAACGCCCACTACGTGACTACGCTAGTCTACAAATCTCGAGTTCAATGTAACCATAGCGAAAATTCCGACTGCCGAATATTTGACTCCTCCACTGGTCCCACATCATGATGGGGTTAAGGTCGGGGACTCGGGGGTCGTGGACAGGACGGCATGGGGCAACACGTGTTGGATGAGCGACGGGAGTCCGTACATACCTCAAAGCCTGCTGTTACACTAGCATCTCCTAACTAGGACCTTACCAAAGGTGTCCACGGTAGCTGGCATTAACCACAGTGGGCTTGGACTACTACCTAGCAGGGAGAGGGGGGTCTTTGACTCCCTATAGGGTCAACATCAACGTTCCCCTTGACACTGTAGTCCGGTACTAGCAAGTACCTGACGTTATATGAACATTACGTATCTAGGTAGGAATCATTCTAACACCGGCTATTGTCTATAATGTTGTCATTACGTTCAATTTGCTAGTGCCGGACTTCAATGTTATAAGACAGACTGATAGGCAGCAGAGACCCCCCCTTACTCTGCTAGAGTAGTACTTACCTTGCTCGATATTGTGGCCTGTTCCATGCATCATGAGCGGCACTAGTCTCTAAAGAGGGAAGTGAATCAGCAACTCATCATTAGACATGCATACCGAGTCCGGTATTTGATGTGATAGCTCGCTTCAAGACTGCCCCGTGCAACTCTAGCCGGTGTAAGGTACAGTACACTTGAACTTGAAGCCTGGCAGAATGGCGCTAACAGTAAGGCATGAAGGTCTGGCTTCAATAGGCGAAGGCTATGTATGTACAAGTACAATACGGTACTGTCTGTCAATAGCCTCAGTAAAGAAAAGCATTAACAATAACACTTGTACGGTCTCTAGATCGGAACCACCTCCTCCACCTTTCCCACAGCTCATCGACCAAGAGCCCCGTTCATCCGTGTATCAGCCAAGCGGCTGCTCTCAAGCTAACATGGGCCACCTCAAAGCGTCTCAAATCCACTGGTAAACACTCAACCGATCCGGCCCACCACACACCTCAGTCGGCGCACCGGAGCAGGGCATGGCGCACTCGGCATCCGTAACATTCGCACTCGTGACATCCAGCGCACTACCGCAGTAGCACTCGGCCGTGTACTCAAGACCAAACCAGAGGAAGCCCGAGTTGAGGCAGAAATTGGCGCAGCCGTCGACCGTCATGGCCGACGCCGAGACGGCGCTAGCCCCGGACAGCGCCCGAACCCCAACGCCTTCGGTATAGCACCCAACGTACTCGGTCGCCGTGACCTCGCCCTCGCCCCCGTGCGGGTAGGGCGTGAAGGCGGGCGGCTCCTCCGAGGTCCCGTACAGCGAGAGCCGGTTTGGCCCGCCGCAGATTTGCGTTGCGTCCCCTCCGCAAGGCATGGCGCAGTCTGTTGAGAAGGCCGGGAAGGAGCCTTGGGAGAGGGAGTCGCCGCAGTAGCTGTGTTGAGTATCTGCATTAGCATGTGCTATTTGGTTCTTTGTTATGTTCTGTGATGGACTTACCACTCGCCGCCGTACTCGAGCCCCCAGAGGCTGAAGCCGGTGCAGTGCGTCTCGCACTCGGTCACGGTCATGGTCGTGTAGTTGACCAGCAGGGACCCTGTCAGCGCCCGGGTGGGCACCTCGGTGTAGCACCCGTAGAAGGTCTGGGCGAAGACGGCGGGCACAACGGCCGCGAGAGCGAGGAGGTGTTGCATCTTGACGAGGGCGCGGATGATTAGGTTGAGGGCTGTTTGCTTGGCTGGGTGTTGACGCAGATGAGTGCTGATCAGAGACGACCTGGCAACTTGAAGAGAGGGGAGAGGATGGTATTTATGCCTGCCCGTGGTCACATCGGCGAGTCTCAGTCTCTCGATTTTTCATCTCTTCCAATCTCCGGTTGACGGCCAGCTCGTTCTGTGCTTGTGCCCGTGCAACGCAACCACAATCCTTCCCGTCGCTCCTATGTACCATAGTACCACCCTGCGATAATACTCTCCTAACGTGGTAAACACGGCGTGCACGTGCAGTATCCCCTGGATCGCCTCTCATGGCAGCCTCGAGTTCAGCTGCCACGAACAAGGAGCGGGAGGCGGGATGCTGGGACCTACATATGCGGGACATGAATATCACATGCAGCCAAGGTAGCAGATATGGTTCCTCAGGGGTATACCCCCCTTGAGTTGATCATTGCAGAGCCTCACCAATACCTTACATACTATTCAACGTACCTATCTAGTGTAGTGCATGTAACACAAAGGGTCTATGTTTACGCCATGGAACCGGAGGGGCGGCTGAGAGATCCGGGTTCGAACTAACGTTCATGTATTGGGGTGGCGACCAGAACCGGTTGAGGTCTTGGTGGTGTAACGACTCAGCTCTAAATTCGCCGCCTGGCACGGCACAGCAGACGCTCCCCTCCTGCACCGGCGGGTCGGGTGGTTCTGCCGTCCATTGATCTGCAGTCATCGAGTTATCCCCACGAGTTCCCATGCCCCTCGATCGCCGGCTTATGTACTCATGTTGTTCCTGCATCGGGTGCTATGCCGGGGTCCCGTTAATGTGGGGAGATACACACCTCCGGAACCATGCAAGCACTGAAACAGAACTACTGAAGTTACTTACGGTACGGGTAGGTTCTCTTCATACAGTGTCTCCTCCTGTCCACGGTACTTTTGCTCACCAGATTGGAGAGAATTTGCTCAATATATTACTAAAAAGTTTGATATGCACAACGGTGGAAGCACAGAACATGAATTGACAGTCGAACAGTTGCACAACAGGTTTGCACCGAGATTAGCTGCAGCTCAACGTATTCTCGTGCATGCAGTCAGCTCAGTCAACCGGGATCCATCATCCATCGGCGGACTCTGGCCAAAATCTTGGGTTGGCGGAGTGTTTCTACTCTAGGAAGCTGGTTTACCGATATATATGCAATGGAACGGCGCTGGGAAATTACACCCTGGGCAGAGTCTTGGTGATACTGTTAGCAGATGCCCGGATGTTACATTCGTACACATCGCTCAAGCGTTACTGGAATCCTTCAGTGGTTGGCTTTTCAGCCGAAAATGCATATAGTATAGTAGAGCAAGGACTCGTAGTAACTTGCTTATCCTGTGCTTGCCTGGCATCCTTTTATACAGGTATGGGTCTGGTCTATTTGAACTCCCAACCTGAGGTAACCTGGAAAGTAAAGGATTCTCCTATGCACGTCGATCTGGGCACTTTAACTGACTGCAGAACAATGCAACCTAGGCCCGATAACCGCCACTCCAAGGGGAAGGTGTGTGCCTGTAAATCCACAGCAGTACTACGTATAAGAGTCCAAGGGAAACTCAGCTGGTCGAGAATCCCGAGCTGAACTCATTGAGACCGGCGTTGTAACAACGAAGACCTGTATTGGCGCCGATGCAGCCGAATACATTGATTTCAACAAGTCTTAAGCGGTCTAATAGGAACCCAACGCGTATTCTTTCGGTCTTCGCTTCAGCGCTGCAACTATTGTGCATGCATTTGGACTATCATATGCAAGTTACTAAGACAGGCAACCGAGAAGACATTGGCCTGACGATCTACTATTGGTGATCAAGATACTACCTTGATGGACTTGGATCTATCTTTCTTTGGAGCAATAACTGTCGGAGCGGGCAGCGGCCCGAAGCGATGAGATCACTACAACGACAATGAGGGTAGTGCCGGGATTTCCATCCCGGTTGATGATGGTGTGCAGTTGGCCCTCCTAGATATGTACTTAGGAGTCGAGAGACGCATTATGTTCGATGCTTAGTAAACGGATATCAGCAATGATAAAGCAGTTCTCCATCTACAGACTCCCCGAGATTCTTTGCTTTGCATGAATCACATCCATGTATGACGGAAAATGCAGACGCAAGGCTCGCTTCCATGGAAAGAGCCATCATCAACTTGCGTAGGAAGCCAACTTGCCTTGGCAGGAACAGCGGTTACACGCCCAGACGCGTTTGGTACGCGCGATGAGCCCAGACATCGGATGAAAGAGCCCAAGGCAGTGGTCACCTGCCCCGTACCTGCCTTCCCAGAACGCGTCACGCCTTTATATGGCATGGATCATTCATCCCTAGTACCAATCTTAGAGCAGAGCTTGTTACCTATTGGTATTGACTGTCAGTCATTCACCAGAGGTTATGGGTTCAACTCCCGCACGTTGCGCTCCCCGGTTTTCTATGGTGATTCTATGAGACTGGGCTGGAGAGGCTGTTCATGGTACCCTCTGGCATGGGCCTGTGAGTACATACGTCTTAGTGGTAGACAGTACTTGCTAATGATTTGTCGAACTCTGTGAAGCCTCGAGGGTAACTGCGGGATGGAGGGTTCTGGGGGATCTAACAGCTCTGTTCCCTTTTTTTTTTCTTTTTTCTTTTTTTTTTTTCTTTTTCTTTTTTTTTTTCCAATTCTACATAATTAGATTGTAGAGATTAGCGTTAGCTTTAGATACTAACTTAGATTGTTAAGATCAATTCTGAGATAGTGCAAGTGTGGAACTGGGTGGCTAGAAGGCAAGGGGCAAAACGTTAAGATGTACGACATTCCAGTCATCTCTAATCCAAGTTCTAAGGCCAGATTCGCCCCTGGTGCTGTCAGATCATGCAATCAACTTGGAACTCATTGCGAGTTTGGTTGGTACTCCTGGGTCCAACATCTTGTATTTAGCCGAGCTTTGCAATATCTCCAAAGCTGGACGTACAGCCAACTGCTATTGGAATAGAGGACGCTGATATAGAGATTGCTAACGTGTATTTCTCTGGCCGTTCCCTCGTTTCCAGCAAAGAGGGGAAGAGAAGTATGCTGCTCGTTCACCTCGTTCAGTTCCCATCCGCCGCAGCGATTTCGTCGAATCTGAGTCCCGACAACAACGAGGTGCAAAATGCTTGCACTAACAACTATCGCCTTTTCCCTGTCTTTGCTAGGAGTTTCCCTCGCCCAAATCGACCACGTAGGAATAAACCTCGCAGACGAGGTTGGGAAGTACCATCAGCCGAAGAGATCAACGCCTACAGCAACCTGTCTCGTCGCCGATGCTTTGCAAACCGCGAGCTTTCGCACCGGTTTGGAGAATGGCACAGCAGGGATCAGGCCTGGCTTGACAGAATCCCCAACGCAAGTCAAATCCCATATCCCCTCACCTACAAGCACCTAACTTTCCCTACTAACTAACATGGACCCCAGAAACGAAGCAAACTTCATCAACTTCTGCTCCGGCCTGGACCTAACCAACGGCCGGCAAAACCCCAACGGGTCCTGCAACGGAATCCCCATGGGCCGGATCCCCGCCGCGACAAACATGGTCTCAACCCTCATCACCTTTCCACAGCCCAGCGACCGACTCTCCCCTCTCACAACCTTTACCGTGACCCTGCAGACGCGCCACCTGCGCGCGGGACATCTGGTCAACCCTTCCGCGGCCTACTACGCAGCGCCCCAGGACCTGGACGAGCACGGCGACATCCTCGGCCACGTGCACGTCACCATCCAGGAGATTGGCGAGAGTCTCCGCGCGGGGCAGGCGCCTGATCCGGCCGTGTTTGCGTTTTTCAAGGGAGTAGATGACCCGGGTGATGGAAAGGGGAATTTGAGGGCTGAGGTCACGGGCGGGTTGCCAAGGGGTGTGTACAGGGTGTGTACCATGACAGCGGCCAGGAATCATCAGCCCGTTGTGATGCCCGTTGCGCAGCGGGGAGCGCAGGATGATTGCGTTAGGTTTGAGGTTGGGTCATGACTCTTTGTGAGCTGGTGTGTTTAGTGTTGGCGGTTGAGCACATACTAAGGTTGCAGGCCTCAAAGCGTACTAGTGCTAACTTATATGTCATGTACATGAATTTCTTTCTCGTCTCCATTGCCCTCAATCCTTGCACTCCTTGATCCCCTTAGAGGCCATGGAACAAGTCGAGTGACTCGAGTCACTACAGTGAGCCTCAGGGGTATCAGGTGGAGTGACAATCTTTCCCCACACTGGGATCATGAGGATTGATATCTCAGCTGCATACCCCGTTAGTAGTTAAGAGGAGGCCAACCCGGCATCTCTCTTAACAAGGTCCTGCTTATCAAAAGAGACCTCAACCGACGCCGTGTCGGCATCACGAGACTGGAACTTGCCGTCCTCACTGGCCCAGGGCACTATCGGGTTATTAGGTAGATTAGCTCCTCCTCCGTTGCAGCACACAGAGTGTACCCTCCCAACCAGCAAACAAGCAGTACATAGTAACGTAAGGCACCCACCGTCTAGGACCAACAGCGTGGTATAATACTCCTCCCGCCTGTCCAGGCTCATGTTCTCATCGCATGTCGGCACCCAGGCAGTGCGCCTTTGGGCATCCACGTCAATGTCTTCCCGGCCCAGCTCCAGCACCACAAGGGTTTCTTGATGCTGTTGGCCGTGTTGGCAGGGGCACGGGAACGCTGTATCCATTCCAGAGAAAAGAAGCGGTACGGCATGGTTCCCCCTTTTTTGTGTGGGGCTGGACATTTTAGATAGGCGTGTTTCGTTCTCCGGGAACTTCGGGGGGAGTGGGGGAGAGGCGGTCAGTCTGGAGTATGGATCGTTGAGCGTGGCAACAGGAGGCCTCGGGCCGCGGCGGTCATCTGCAAGTCACAGGGGGTACCGCCCGGCCGGATTAGGATGGGGTGCTGGGGGAGGTGGCGAGCCAGGCGGATGAGATGGCGGTATGCTAACCTGGTGCCAGGGTTTGGTAAGAACTGATCTGGTACTAGTATAATAGTCTTCTCACATACGGGTATCAAGAAAGTTCCAGCGGACCGAGGATCCGACATGGTGATTATATAGAAGACTCGAGAGTTGGATGCTCCGCCCTGAGGGGATCAACGACCTGCAGTTCACTGAAACGTGTAGGTCATGTTTGCTGTTCAGTATTAGGTATCATCAAATGATGTCTTCTAGTCTCTTGCTGCCCAATAGTCTCGGCAAGGCTGCTGACCGTCTCTATTCCAACCCGATTCAAGCAGAGCGTGACTCTATTTTCGATGGAGAGCCTCAACCACCGGCAGTCAGCAACGCGGGAAGTACAACCAAGATTCAAGCTGCCAGTTCTGCCCTTACAACAAAAGTCCAGCTGCCTCGCATGTGTCCATTGTTCATTGGACACTTACACAAGGATAATAGCTTTCAACGAGCGTCAACCCAGCCGGTCTGGGACGCTGCCACAGGAGCTCCGAGACTGGCTACCGGCGCAGAGGACTCGGCTTTCAGGTGGGGCCGGAGTTGGCTCCGTAAACTCGACCGGCAACCCATGCAGGAAGATGTTTATGGCGTTCTCGAGTGGCCAATCAAGGGGAGAACGCGTCAGAAGGGTGCAGCTCAGACCGGTTCGGCTCCTTCCGCCCAGCCGTTGCACCAAAATGTACACACCTCGTCCAGACCGGTCACATCCCACAGACATTAACAGTGGTGAGTTCAGACCGGTCACAGGAATGGATAAGGTCATGGCTGTCACTGATTGGGTCGCATTGTAACTCAGAGTTCGAATGCTCCTTGCCAAGATCAGTGTGGTAACGTAACGCAGACAATGTCTTCGAGTTGAGAGGCTCAAATGAGCGGGCGTGAGATCAACTCTCATCAGACTAATTGCATGAGGGCTCGATACATGATCTGCTTGAAAGACCCTTTTGCTCTCTCACGTAGGTAGTCAGTGTCCTTCAAAAAGTTGTCTAAGGTAGGTACGGTAGGTGGTAAGTATCTGCTAAGCTAGGGCTAAGAGGTGGATAAAACCCTCGGCCTGTTGCCCAGAAGTCGAAGGACTCCAAATCATGAGCCTCGAAGGGAAGTGCTTCTCTTCGAATATATACAGCACCCAGCGTAAATTCTGCCAAAGCCCCTTACCCGAAGTATAGGCACGCGCAGAAGGGTTCGTGTTTCCACGATGCGGTTACCCAACTACCTTAGGCTTTCCCTTCCAACTTCCTAGCTTGAAATCAGCAAACACCGGTGACATGCATGTTTCGTCATACTTTTTGCGCTTCCGCCCCTTCGGCGTAACGCTTGAGACCGACGTTGTTGACAGTCCCGTCAACGTAGTCAATAGTTGTTTCGCGAGGTTGCCAGTTCTCCTCAAACATCTGCGAAATGAAGTAAAGCTCATGTTCGTACAAGTCATGTTCATTGTTAGTCTTGATTATAGGCTCTAAAAACAACAAAATGCGTCATCAGTAGGCATAGCTTGATCTCCATGGGGCTATGGACTGTTTACCTCTCTCCTGCAGTAAGGCTTTGGTGCGCTCCAAGAACTGAATTTCTTCCACAGACATGTGTGCGAATGGTGTCGTGTGCCGTCTTTTCCAGTCCTGTTTGAACGGGTTGCACGACTCGGTCCGGTAGTGGTAATGTGAGAGAAATACATTGGCGCTGTGGTGGCGTTCCGCGACGAAATTGGGGATGGCATATCTCCGCTAGACAAATATCAGGCTCACTCTTGTAAGTGCAGCAGCACGCTTGACTCACCAGGAGGCCGTGCTTTCGAGCGTTGCGGTAGTTCTCATCTGTGATCTTGGCACAACTGTGGAGTGACATGAATGTTATAAGATAAATGGTCATCCAGTTCCTGGGATTCGTCACCAGAGCCAGTTTCTGGAAGTCCTCCAGGACTTGTTTTCTTAAGGGATCGAGAATCCCCAAAGTCAGGATCATGTCCAACTGCTGAATCATGACAGATGGCAAGGGGACTTTTCCAAAGAGAGGGTATGACCTATCGTCGGTCTCAGGGTTCATGTCAAGGGTGTCTTCACCAACGATGTGCTCTGTGGTTGCCGTTCGACGGATGGCAAACCAGAGCCGGAAAAAGTTCCCCAGCAACTTCCTCTCTTCGTCAGACTAGATATGTTTAGCAAACCTATATGAGACTTCCAGAGCTGTCCGGAGAGACTGGCATCCACTCACCTCAACCCTTTGCATGTGCTTTCTTGCAAACTGGTATGTCTCCTTGACCAGGGTATCACTCCCTTGCAGAAAGAAGTCGACGCACTTGAAAATGTTTGCCGTAACGTATTCCCTCATGTCCTCAACCGCATTTCGCATATTGGCTATGGCATAGGGGGTGGTTTTCTTGAACTTTTTGATGCCCCTCTTCTGGTCCATCCATGATCGATGCATCTCGTCCTTGTGAGGGATGGGGACAAACTCGCGGACGACCAATTTTAGAGGCACTTCACAGATATCTGACTGGACAAGTATAGTCCTCAGTTGTGGGGATGCCCAGTCAGAGATATCTTTGAGTTTCATTACTGGCCATCGGAAGGTGAATTCGAGTCCGGGCGCTTTTCCTGTTCTGTAGAGCGTGCATTCAGTGAGTCGATACCGGAGACATGGCAGATAATGGACCTTTTGCTTAGACACGTCCAAGCAAGTACCACAAATACCTCCCGGGTTTTCCGCAATGATTGTGCACTGCCAATAGTCAGCTAAGAAAAGGAACGCTGGTCGTGACTGCAAGCGGTCACTGACTCTAATCTTCTGCATGCGGCACCGTACGCAGGCCTTTAGATCTCGAGTTCTGCTGGTCTCTTCCTGGCGCTCGCGGTTTTTGAACGGCCCTCGGCGTTGTCGAGAGGGAGCTTGTGGCTGAAGTGGATTCACAGGCACAAAGCGCACAGCATCCCCGTAGTTGTGACCGCGAGGAGAGACAAGGACTTGCTCACCAGGTCTCCCTACCACAGCCCAGTCAGACTGTCCAGTGTCCAGTTGGACCGGATTGGAAGGCTGAGGACCTGAAAAGCTCTCTATAATCTCCCAAGAGTGGTATTTGGGGTTCAAGGCACCTTTTTCCGGAGCCATTGAATCCAGCCCGTGACTGTCATAGACGAAAGACGACACATGGTGTGAAAGGGGACTCAACCCAGCTTGTAAGTGACTCTGCACACTGTTCTGAGGGATATTTAATGACACCCGTTGCGGACGTCCAGGGGACGCGGACGATGTGTTTTCGCTGGGATGCTGGGTCAGTATCGCCTCTGGAGAGAGAAGCGGAAAGTCGTTCATCCAGGGGTCCCCAGCGTCGTAGCGCCCAGCAATATCATCGTCAGCGTCGTTAAACTCAGCCACAGCGGACTGCCATGGGGTAACATCTTCGTCTGAATTGCTTTCATTGTTATCGTTGGACTGCTCGTCTCCGGTTGAATCTACGGATGTGAGGTCAGCCTTCGAATCAAGATCAGGTCGTCGATCGGGATAAAGAACCAACCGCTTCTGTAATCGTTGTGGTCGAGGTCTATCGCCCGTGAACCAACCGACTGCTGTTGGGACTGCAGTCCGCCACCGTCGGACCTGGGAGGAGACGCCACGAGGTCGACTACAGGTATCTGGAGAATGGATGCTGCTCGTTCCATCGCCTTCCTGTCGTCGGGTGCCAGAGACGACAGGAAGACGGTCGGGAAGGATGACGGCTTGGACCTTGTCATTTCACCGCGATCGGGGAAGGGACACGGTCTCTTCTGAGCCTGTCTCTAGGCGGTGGTCAACTGTGGAGGAATTACATGGCAAAGTACCCACTGCAGACAGGGAGCGATTTAAGGGAATGCCTGGTCGTTACCCAGAGGGCAGGAGCCCAGGATAAGCGGTAAAGTGACATAATTTTGGCTGTGTAGCCGTACCAGGGCAGCCGCAACCGAGAAAGAAATGGAATAACCTCACGGCACCTACCTGCATGATTGAAGTGGCGGGAAAGGGTCACACCGGCCGGATTTTGGAGGGAGCATGGTCTCGACGAAAGTGGCCAGGCTCCAAAACCTTCAAGTCAACTTGAACTTTTCGAACCGAAGGATGAGAAGCGGTTCGACTTTGTACCGCACCACGTATATGAATTGATGGCCATTGGTAAACGGGTACACCCAATAAGCGCCACTCACATTCCCCAAGAAGTTTGATTTGCAGGACATGCCTTTGGTCTCACATACCCCGCGCCCAGACCGGTTCTCGATTCGGAATGTGTCGAATTTCGCTGGTGTCCGTGGTGCACATTGTACTAATACCCCGTGTGTCGGCAGGAACCGTACGCCTGCAGGGTACTGCGACCTTTTGTTCACGGCACGCACAGATTGTGTACAACTTCTAGATTCGAGAACCTCCCCGGAGACCGGGGAGACAGGTTTGAGCACCTCTGAACATCGACCTCGGTTGGTATATAATGAACATCTGTTGACTCGAAGCGCCGGCATGGCAGAACCCAGCTCAGCTTGAGAGGCCATTGTCACGGGTTGAAGCTTGCCTTGTGGCTGAAACCTGTCACGTACTTGCGTGAAATCCTGCCGCCGTGGCGACTGACTTCTATGAAGCAGTCTTAGTGTCGGCACTTCGTTGAGAAACAACTCTTTAGGGATCGCTATTCCTGATTTTTCTCTCAGAAAATGCATATTTGCGAAAGTCAAAAGAACGGTGTTGACTGGGCCTCGGAGAGCGGGCGGTCCGGACCCAGATGGGCTGCACAACCGCTGTACCCTTGATTGGAAGGAGGATGTGTCTTCCAACTGGCGGTCGTTGCAGCCCACCCTCTCCGTTTTTGGGGCAACATTGGTTGCCGAGGAGGTGATTGTTTGCGGCTCACTGCAGAGCCTCGCCCGACGGCGGCGGCCAGAAGAATGAGAGACCCAGGACTGAGGGAGTGGGCTGTGATCTGGGAATCGCTTTCTCCGGCGTTAACCACCACAGCTCCATGAGACGCGCCGAACAAGAAACTGGAGAACAAAAGAACAAACTTTTGGAAGTTACCCGAAAATGAAAGAGACGAAACAGCTGTCGGACGAGGCAGGAGCCATTGAGAGACACACGGGCTCTGATTCGACAACACTGGAAGGCGGCACTCTGCTGCAATTACCCTCGGGAAGCCGCCCCTCTCCCCTCGTACAACCGTGGAAATCTTTCTGGCCACCAGCGCCAGGCAGCGATTCTTACCTGAGATTGATTGCGGAAAATCCAACAATCTTCACATGGCAATTTGACATGACTCGGCCGTTTGATCGGCCCTGGAGGCTGTGGACTGGCGCTGCACCCGCTGAAGGGGGTGGAAGCGTTCAGGATCCGAGAAGCCCCTCGGCTGCCTGTTCCCACGACAGCATTCTCGGTGAGTTGTCCAGCCATCCAGCTGCGCAGACTTGGTCTGATGAAACGATTCCCAGCGCTAGATTACGGAAATACCCAGAAGATGAGAGACGAGCTTGATGAGCAGTTCCGCAATCTCGCTCTGCCAAAAGTGTTTCCTAAATCCTTCAACCATCTCGCCCCGTCGGAGCTCTACCAGAAAGAAAAGCCATACAAATGCCAGCTTCCTGAGGCCTGTTTCCCTGGGCTCAAGATGCACAACCTCGTCTCGCAGAGCTATCATGTCGGCATTGCCGATGTTACCGGTCACGAGGACATGTTTTCGCTTGCCATATCTGGTTTCGAATTCGCCACTTGTCCCATCAGCATCGAGGAATGGTCTGACGACAGTGTTTCAGCCCAGTATCTGCCGGGCCTGGCTCGGTGGTTGAAGCAGTGTACAGGCTGCCGGGACGTGTTCTGCTACGCCTACAATGTAGGTTTTACACCGTGACAGCGGTGCAGGCGCCGCAGGACGCCTGAGCCGCTTGCACATATTGTTACTTCCAAACTAAAGCTCGTTCGTACTTATGTGCCCAGTTTCGCCACCATGATGCAGCTCAAGGCTCTGATGTGAGCCCAAAATATGAATTCAAACTCCCTTTCTTCCGGGCACACTGTGGTTCGTGAACCTCACCATGTACTAGAAACTATGAGGGTCTGCCCTACTAACCTGATCTTCAGATGCCTCGGAAGAAACATGCAGGGCTCGCTTGCAGCTTTACTTTCCAGAACGCTACGCTGAGCTGACAAAAGGCCGCATCCGTTTCGTCAAGTGGGTGTCTCAATTCCTAAAAAGGCCTACGATTTCAGGGGTTGTGTGAGTTGCTAACAGTCCACACAGCATCTGGCGGCCGTTGTCGGCATCACCCATACTAGACTGCCCACTCGCGCTCTGTGACTTTCGCACCATCAACCCTGAAGATCTCGTTCCAATGGACCTCGTGTACCCTCACTTCGTCGACGAGGCTTACGAGGTGCGGTACAATCCTTCACACCGATGGCTCTATAAAAAGGAAATGGGGCCAGACGATGTCATCATCTTCAAGCTCTATGATAATCTGCGTAGCGAGGCAACCGGTAAATGGTCATGTGAGACGAAATGTAAGGCCATTCTTGCTAACCCATCCAGTCTGTCCCCATTCTGCCTTTGTTGACCCCTCGGCCCCTCGGGATACACCAAAGCGCGCCAGTATTGAAGTGAAAGCGATTTTGATCGGGTAAGATGTATCGAAAACCTAGCAAACTCCTACTACAGGCGTTCAGCTTGCTCCTGGTCTTCTGGCATGATGCGGGGGTATTTTCCATCTACCTTTGGCCTTTTTTTACAAAGCCCTTCCCGAGACTCGACCGGAGTCTCATCTTCCTCCGGCCGTTTCCTTACAGGGTCTACTAGTATGTCTTTCTAGGTTCACCGCCTCTCGGCATGAGGCTTGAAACTCTCTCGCAAGAGCTCGCAGAGCTTGGCGGATAGAGCAGACTTTGGCGTTGAGTTCCCCAAATTCAAACCCCTGTGACAATTGTGGCAACCGCTCAACTTGAATGACGATGGTTGTCAGTAATGAGCTTCAGATCTCTAGATTAGACAGTGTTGCTTTGGTTGATCCAGGCATGTGACTACCTTCCTTGGATTCGGACTAAATACCCCTGAATATCTGTTTACTTAGCAACGGCGGTGCCTCAAGTCACAATATCGACGATCTGAGCGCAATTGACCATCATTACGCAATATGGAGACTCAACATTACGAATTGAAGTTCGTGTTGAAGTTCTCTTATCCCTGGAGATATGACATATGGGAGGCTGCCAGGCACCTATGCTGTTTCTCCTTTATATGGTTACATCTGGTCTTTATACTCTAACTATCATGCCGTCTTAAGCCCATCCTTCTTGAATGCGGCATACTTGCGGTAGATGTCATGGCGAAATGTCTGCTTCAGCTCTGCCAAGTTGCCGACATCAACATTGGGCAGCGAAGGTTGAGGAGCACCAAGACCACACAAGCCGTTCTTGCGATCGATAAACCAAGCAAACGACATGCCGCCGCCCCACGTCAGCGTCCGTTCTCCATACCAGCCCTCGACATCCTCCAAGGTCAACAAGCCGCCAAGACCATGACCAACCTTCGACCCAGGAGTGGTTCCCACGCGGAAGAAGACTCCACCGGGACCGTCCATTTGAACACGGTGTGCCTCCTCTGCCTCGGGAGGGATATGGTTCTGGAACATGTCCTCAACCGTCTCCGGACGGAGCAGCTTTCCATCATTAGCCAGCAGCGACCGTAGCACCTTGAGATACCCCTCCCCGGTCATAAACAACCCATGCCCTCCAAAATCGCCCTGACTTCGCCTGTTCGAATCCCCAGCACCCGCCAGCACCGCCAGACCCAAACACTCCGGGTCGGCGGGATTCAGATCCACCAGGCGGGCGCGCACGCTCTCGCCCTTGACGGGGTAGAACTGGGCTTCGTCGGGGTCGATACCCAGCGGCTTGCAGATGCGCGCGCGGATGTGCTCGCCCAGCGTGGTTCCCGTCGCGCGCTCCACCATCCTCCCCGCCCAGTCCAGCCCGGGCCCGTACATCCACCCCTCCCCCGGCTGGAAAGCGAGCGGGTAGTCGAAGGCAGCCTCAACGGGCCGCCGCGCGCCCTCGGCCAGGGGCGGCTGGTTCTCCTTCCGCCAGGCAGCCAGCCGCGGCACGAGAAAGTCGTACGCCGCCCCGGACGTGTGGGTAAGCAGCATCCGGAGGGTGATTGGCTTTTTGGCGGGGACCAGTTCGGACGAGTCGGGGCTAAGGACGGGCTGCTTGGCCAGTTCGGGCGCGAACGCCGACACGCAGTCGCCCGAGTCCAGGCTCAGCTGGCCGTCCTCGACGCATTGCAGCGCGGAGATGGTGGCTAACAGCTTGGTTGCTGACGCGAGATACAGCATGTCGTCCAGCTGCTGCGGGCGTTTCTCGCCTGACAGGAGCGTGCGCTCGCCCAGCGCGAGGTTGTAGGTGAAACCGCCGGCCGCGTCGGTCGCGCACACCACGGCGCCGTTGATCTTCCCCGCGGCGATGGCGGCTTGGAAGGCGGACTCGATGGTTTTGTCGGCCATGTTTGCTAACGTAATGGTACGCGGTTCGGGGTTGGGGTTGAGCAATGAGTGGGAAAAGGGGGTTGTGCGACAGTGCGGATATGGCCCAGGTTTGACCCCCTGATTCTTGGCGGTCTAAGATCTCTTTATTTATGTGAAGGTGCCTAACCTCGGACTGTAAATGCGAGGTTGCGGGGGCATTTGGGCCGCATCGGCAAAAGAGTCACTCGCCGGATTCCAGGATCCACTCTGCTTGAGGTGGTTTGTCAATGTCCGGGCTGCCCGCCGCTAACCCAGTATCGTCAAAGGTGTAGATAGTCGATGGAAGGACCCAGGAACTGGGGACAAAAAGCACGTCTTAGGGTTAGGGCTATATATATATGGTGCCAGTCTCCACTCTTCCGCGTTCTTTCCCGAATCGTCTCACCGCAAACCCATTCACTTACAATGGTGACGCGTCAGAAAAGCACGAACCCTGCAGGATTCTACATGACTGAGGCATCCTTGTCTTGTGTCGTTCGAAGGTACGACTCATTGCTCCCTACAGTGTCCCCACCGTGGTCCTCGACTCCTCGACCTGCACCTCCTCGACGAGTCCTCGTCCCCAACTCCGACATTGATCAGATCGAGCCGTCCGCGCATTGGTGGAGAATGGATGGACCAACGTTGAGCCGGACAAATTATTCTGCAACATCTTAAGGGAGTGCAAACCACAGAGACGCATGAATCCTCCAAACGCGCCTCCCCCTCCATCCCAGGAGCCGTCGGGGGCCTCGGGGCCAACCACGACGATCCCGCCCCCCACCGCCGATTGGAACGCTGAGAAACTGCGTCAATGGTCTTCAGACTACTTCGTGCCCCCGCTCGAGCTTGTTCTTCACGCCTTAATCAGTAGTTTTCTCGACAGCCGTCCAGTGGTGCCCTCGCGACCCGCCTTACTACTTTTGTCGCCTATCTTTATGCTTACTGCGTGCCAATTCAAACACAGGCGTTTGAGGCCGACTTGCGGTTGGACCATCGTCAATTCCACTATGACTTGCTTTGGGATCCAGGTTCTCTGAGAAGCATCGCCAAATCAGGAACGAAATAAGAGAGGGCAAATGGCAACCGCAGCGCGATCCCTACTACCCCCCAAAGGAGCCGGTACACTCAGAGCGCAACGACCTCTGACAGAGAAGCTGCGCGTGCACCTTGAGAGGGTCCTTGAATGCCAAAGCAATACCCTGACGAGAGACATCTGATGAGCGCGGGCCTTAAGTGACTCAAATCGGCTGCAAAACCATTCTTGTACCTTGTACTTGTACAAACACTCTATCAGTCCAACCCTCGCCGGCAAACCCCTCTCTTACACCCTTCACAAAGCTCCTCCTCATGTTCCGGGCCGCGATGTGGTGCATACGGCGGCCGTTCGACTTTGACTCCTGCCCACTTCTTCAACCGGTACGCCACCCGATCCACATACGATTGCTCGTCCAGCGTCAGCACACCCAGCCGCTCGCAGGACTTGCACCGCTGGTTGAACACAACGGCGTTGTACCCATTCCGGGGATAATGCCGGATCAGGATGGCGACGCGCCCGCTGCCCCAGCCGGCTTGCCGGCAGGCTGTGTTGGCGCAGCGGAAGCGGCCCCGCACGTTGGTCGAATAGTCGTCGATTGCAGCGTTGTCTGAGCCGGCTTTGTTGAACCAAGGTCTGGGACTGATGGCGCCAGACAGGGCGGAGAGCACCTGTTTGTGTAGATTGGGGAATGTCAGGGCGCTTTCCGTGTCGCTCTCGTCGTCGTCGGTGCTGGGGACACTGCGAGGACGCCTGCGCGGTTTGGAAGGCATGTTTGTGGAGATGGGGTTGATGTAGTCAGGCCAGGTTCGCCGAGGACAGAACTAGATAAACCATGAGGGAAAGGGGAGAGTGCCGGGCCACGGTCTTTGAATCAAACAGAGGTAGGTTGTGTCAAGGATGAGAGCAGAGGGCTAACAGCTCTTATACCACTTAGCTCTCGACAACTTCCAGTTGCAGACTCCGGAGAGATGTCTGACAGGTACTCAGGCACGTAGCCGGTGCAACGAGCGGGGAAGCTGCACGATTTACAGACTGCAAGACTGTCGCCAGTAACATTCCAAGACCGTTGTTTGCTGTAGGCCTCAGTGCAGTGTTTGCACCGGCGAAACTCCCCCAGGTAACTGGATCCCAGAGACCCGTCCTCGGTTGGAAACACATCCATGGTGATTCCCAGGCGAGTATCTGATGTTGCCGAAGACTCCTCTAAAAGGAATCGTGAACAGGTATTTGGGTAAGCTGTATAGCGCTGACTAGCAACTAGTGATTCCGTGTATATCACATCATACCAGAAGACCTGATACCGACCCTTTTATAACGGCCGTTTTCACTCTCCCAGAGGCAAATACAGTTGATCTCAGGCGCCCATGATATCGCTGGCGTCTCGCAGCATAACATCCCCGTGGCTGGACGGGAGTTACTGTGGTCCCCGAACGCTGCCAGGTCGATCAGTCTGGTGGGCAGGAAGGTGGGAGCGTCCGGTCTCGCTACGAAGTCTCTCTGGCCTGTATCGCAAGCCGCTAAACGAGTGCTGGCCCATTCCAACGCTACGTCCGACGCAGTGTTTTCCGCATGGAACTCGTCACAAGGTGGAAACCTAATCTTACTGAGAACTTTCTGGTCCCTCTTAAGCAGAAGGAACAACTATCACGAGATCGACAACGATGTTTTGGTCCCAGGCGAGACGGGCACCACGCCCTAGGATCGACCTACAGTGGAGGACAAGCTTGGACGTGAGGCGCCCTGCATCCGTTAACTGCTCCAAGGAAGCAGTTGTGTTTCCTGGTCCTGTGCTGGACCAGGGGTCATAGGGGCAGCTCAGGTGGTTTTTTGCGACCTAAAACAAGAGCCAGGCCTATCATGATGTCTCTGCTGCCAACTGGAAGGCAGACACGCACTTGTGTTTGCCAGTCAGCCATTATGTGGGTGTCGTCGAACTACGAGTTTGACGCTCATGTCCTGTTCGTTTGCGGAACCAAAGCAAGGTGCAGCTTCCCATTCTCAACCACAGATTACCTCCATAGGCATCTAGAGTACATACCTCCTTTTGGTGCCTTAGTGCCTATACGGTATAAGATAGCAGGTATTAAGGTAAGGTTAGGCAGTAATCTATACACGTAATAAAGCGATACCCTGCAGCTTACCGGCATGGTGTCTCGGGTGACTCGATGAGCCTGATTCGAGGCCGGAACGCCATCCGGTGGCTTTCCTCAACTTGAAGCACAACAATCACCAGCCTGGCCAACCAGCGATATCGCCCAGATACGCCCCAGATCTCAGGGTGTGATTTCCGAAGGCGACAACACTTGTGAGTTGAATCCAGTTGAGCATCCGATGCTGTGACTGACGCGGCGGGATATTGGGACAGAGCAGAGAGGTACTACCGAGCCAGTATAAGGAATTGGCTTGCAGTATCTCAAGTGCGTGAGAATCCTGCCCCGAGCATAAACTGCTCCACTCCTCCCGAGTCCAAGACGATGAGTATTGATGAGTATTGTTAGCGAAAGTGGTAAAATTCAAATTCAGATTCCAACTTACAGCTTTCACCTTGAGCAATGAGCACGAATACCTAGTACATCAACATGGCCTGCGTAAGCCGGATGCAGCTGCTGACTGTGTTTTTCTCTTTTGAACCATGTTGGCTTCCTTATCCCATGACCACCCCTTGTGCCCGGTGTGGTGCGAAGCCCTCAGCATATCCGAGGTATACAAGCCGTAAAAGTACCAATGCGTATCCAACTCCGATTTGTATCCGATGCGTATCCAATGCGTATAGTCATTACTATGGTACAAACACATCCTCTAAGGTACCATTACGATGGCTCGTAATATTGACCAGATTAACCCGTCCTTGAATCCAAGTCAAGTACAATGGATATAACCTACCTAAGTAGTTTATTGGAAGCTTTCAATGTAATCGAAGCGTCATAACAGTGCTTCAAAGGCCTTCAAGGTTCCGCCACCTTCCGTATGTTTCCGAAACATCAAGGTACCCTCGGCTCCACTGCCAAGTTCTTCCAAAGAGGCGAGAACATCTGACTGGTCAGTGCACCCCAGATTTGTGACCTTGCAGCAGGTTCCGGCTGCCGGGTCTCAAACCGTCAAATCGTCACTGCTGCGCCTCCTATATTGGCCCCCCGCAGGTGCCATCAAGACCTAAGTTTAACCCAAAGGCAAATGATTTCTGATGTTTTGTACTTTCAATAACAACCCGACCATCGAAGACAAAGGGAAGCCTCGCCCCAACACAAGTAGTGGACAGAACTGAACTTGACTCATCGTGTCCACTATGAACCGGCCGTCTCGTACCGATGATGACTTTGATCATCCGACCTGGAACCAGAACCCGCCCTTCCTGGCCGCCGACCTGACCACCCGCCAGGATCTCAACGGCATCGCCAATGCCCGCGAGCACCGGAACCGAGACCCCGGACCGGCCAATAGCTTCGGCATTCTCGACGACGAGAAAATTGCTGCCGATGGCCGTGTTTCAGATTCCCGTGACATAACGCGGCAGCACCGCCCTTCTGTAATGAGCGGCCGGTTCACCCGTAAGTCAAGCCTCACATCACCCATACCATCAATGAGGCCGTTTTCGCTGTATCAAGTCAATTGACATGCCCCAATCTCAGGTCCGCTCATTGCAGCCCCCAAGACAGTGCTTGGTGGTGAAGGCCAAGCCTGTCTCTCCACGCCTCCAATTCGACCCCCTTCGAGTTGGACCGGCTGGATCGCGTCTGTCGCTATCGTGTCGACCGTCGTCATTTTTCTTGAAAAGTTTTTCATGGTTTTGTTTGCAAGCACCGTTAAGCCGGTCGATTTGAATGCCATCAGAGGTCAGCCCCTTTTCGTCCCACACCCCGCGGCTTCCACCTGCCAAGTTACTGCGACGGTAAACACTAACCCCTATACAGGGGGAACCACATTGCGCCGCCTTTCAAGGCGCCAGGATGCCTGCGTCGGACAGGCCGGCGGGATAAGCAGTGACTATAACACGCCGCTTCACGTCGGCGCCCTGATCATCATCCTCGGCGTGTCAAGCTTTGCCTGCGGCGTCCCCATGCTCGCCGCCAAGTTCCCCGTGCTCCGTATCCCCGAACCCTTCTTTTTTGGAGTCCGCCATTTTGGCACTGGCGTCCTGCTCGCCACCGCTTTTGTACACCTGCTGCCTACCGCCTTCATTTCCCTCGGGAACCCCTGTCTGTCCAATTTCTGGACGACAGACTACCCCGCCATGCCGGGCGCAATCGCCCTGGTGGGCATCTTTTTCGTGAGCGTCATCGAGATGGTCTTTAGTCCCGCGCGCGGTTTCATCCCTCGGCCCGACGCTGGTTTGGAATCGCAATCCGCCGTCACGGTCCGGCGCTCCGTCGGGGCCGGACACTGCGGGCATGCGAGCGACGTTGCTGCGGCCATAACACGTCCTGCAACCAACACTCGTTGCGGGAGTATCGAGCCGGAGCCGGCTCCGATGCGGGACCACCACACCTCGGGGGAGAAGTCCAAAGAGACGCTAGAAATAGAGTCTCAGGGCACGGAGCTCACGGCGGAACAGCTGCACAAGAAGAGCATCCTGCAGTGCATGCTGCTGGAAGTGGGGATCCTGTTTCACAGTGTTTTCATCGGCATGGCTCTGAGCGTCGCAGTAGGGGGCGACTTTGTCGTGCTTCTGATTGCAATTGCCTTTCACCGTATGTGCCGCCCTCCTTGCTTACCCCTTCTAGCTTTACTAGCCAACTGACACTTACCATCCCGTCCAAAGAAACCTTTGAAGGCCTTGCCCTCGGTGCCCGCATCGCCTCCATCACATGGCCCAAAAACACCCTCCAGCCTTGGCTGATGGTGCTCGCTTACGGGTGCACGTACGTATCCCCCTTTCCTCTCCCCCCCCTTT